CACATTGGTTTCTGAATAACGACGACGTTCCGGAGATCCACTGCTAGGAACTTGGAGAGTTACTGTAGCTTGTGACGTGGCAGGCGGCTCAGGGCAGGACGCCCGTCGACTGGTGGTGGCGAATAGGGTGAGGAGGTCAAGGGCAGATGGTGTGGCTTGGAGTAGAGAGGTATTGGGGAGGAAGTTCTGGAAATGTTAAACCATGCGACATTTTACGCTTTCTGTGATTTACAACTTTTTTAGCTCTCCAAGTTTTGAAGATATGCGCCTTTAAGGTTAGTGCGCGCGACTAACTGTGCATTCTAACTTTAAAGGCGCATATCTCAGAAAATAAAAGCGCTTATAAAATTTTGTTTACTACAAAAATGTAGCTCATAAAATTTTACACATTTTATTAGTCAAACATTTTTTGTTTGCTAAATTAGTTTGAGAGTTATGCGCCTTTAAACTTCCTCTGGGGGAGAGACGCAGAGAAAGGCGCGGTGGCTCGCGATAGCTTAAAGCCAACTTTAAAGGCGCATACCGAACAAAAAAAGCTTGCAGTTTGAATTTTGAGCTAGAAAAAGAAAACATATGTTCATTTTATTTTGTGTGTGATTTTGTACATTTTTTTTTCGATTTTTTCTCTGCCAAGAAAACTTTCGTGATGCATAAAAATAATGGATTTTCTTGATTCCTGCCAACTTTTTTTTCTGTCTTTTTATTTATTTTTTTTCTTGTGATAAGAATATTTTGTACAGCCCTGCCAAAACTGATAATGTTTAATAAATATTTATGTTTTTTTTATTAATTGTACATTAAAAAATTTTTCAGTTCGCCTTCAAGTGGCAAACGACACACAAGTTTTCAAAACGTTATATCTCAAAAACTAAAAAAGCTAGAATTACAGTTTTTATATCAAATTGTTTGAAATTTTATGAGCTATATTTTTGTAGTTTGTAATATTTTAATAGCGTTTTTGGTTTTTGAGATATGCGCCTTTAAAGCTAGTGCGCTCACTACTAGGGTGCATTAGGAAAGCTCTAAAGCTAAAAACGCTAGTGAAACAGTGTTAACTACAAAAATGTAAAACATTAAATTTCACACATTTTAATAGTTAAAAGTTTTGTATTAGCATTTCTAGTTTTTGAGATATACCTGTTAGAAAATTTATATTTCAATATATATTTTTTGATTTTTTTAATACACATATCAGTCACATTCCATGAAAGCACATTCTCTCCGGTTTTTTGATCGAATTTTTCATCTTTTTTAAATCTTAAAATCCTTATAAAATTTTTTAGCTAAACCTTTCTTCTTATCATAAAAATCGCATCATGATTTGCGTAAAACTATTAGAAAATCTGAAAATCCGAAAATCGGATCAAACAAATTGTTTGATTGAAGGCGTTTAGTTTGTTAGCTGAGATTTAATAAATGTATAATGTCAAGATTATGAAATCATAAGAGCGTCTAAAATCTTATAAGCACAAAATTAATCATGTCAGAAAATGAGTTATCGGGAATTCAAAACGATGATGTAGATAGCTCGCGTTTGCATTTGTATCTCAAAAACCGCTAGAGCTAACAAAAAAATGTAACTGTGAACATGTAGAGAAAAACTTTTTACACATTTTATTAGTTTTTCATTGTTTGTTAGCTAGCACGGTTCTCAAGTTATATGCGCTCAAAGCTCAAAGTTTCTCTTCCTTTCTTCAAAGGCGCATATCTCAAACCCCATAAAAGCTGCTGAATATTTGTAAACTACAAAAATGTATAAAATATTATGGTGTAAATTTTGTTAATTTATAAATTTTGGTCAGCTGTCGTAGTTCTTGAGATATGCGCCTTTAAAATTAGAGAGCTTGAAGGAAGTGTGTCCCCTGCGTTTTTCTCTTACTTTCAAAGCGCATATCTCGCGAGCCATGTACGCTATTTGAAATTTGTAAACTGAAGAAATGTGTAAAATTTTGTGAGCTACATTTTTGTAGTCAACACTTTCTTACTAGCATTTTTAGTTTTAGAAAAATGCGCCTTTAAAGGTTGCGCACTCCTAATGCACTCAAGAAGTAAGCATGCTAACTTTAAATACGCATATTTTAAGAACTGAAATATCTAGCCGTTTTTTGTAAATTAGGAATATTTTAAACATATTATGCTCCACATTTTTGTAGTTGAAAATTTCTCACTAGCGTTTTTCGTTTATGAGATATGCCCCTTTGAAGTTGGCAAGGTACACGGTGGAGACGACTAGGTTATGCGTCTCAACTTTAGAGGCGCATATCTGAAGAACCAAAAACGCTATTAAAATTTTGTAATTTACAAAAATATAGCTTATAAAATTTCAAACAATTTAATATAAAAACTGTAATTCTAGCTTTTTCAGTTTTTGAGATATAAAGTCTTTAAAACTTGTGTGTCGTTTGCCACTTGAAATAACTAAAAAATTGTTTTTAATGTACAATTAATAAAAAAGGATCCAACTTTGATAGTTTTTCCAGTTTTTGTGATGTGCGCTTTTAAGGAAAATACAATGAAAACAAGGGTTACATTTATAGCTCTTTCATTCACTCATTCAAAAAAATTCTAGTAGAAAATTTATCCACACTTCCTCATCCACTGTTTAATCATTCAATTGCTCTCCGCCATTACCAATAATCTTGCTCCAAATCCACTTTGCAAGTTCCGTGAGACGCAAAAAAACTCGCCAGATGCACAGCTCTAAAACAGGGAAGAAGATGAATTAACTCATAAGCAACTTACTTGACTAGAGATGGAATCCGCTAAACTTTTCTTTTTTGGTTGTCTAGGAATCGATGGGGGTGATTATGAGTTTTATTTTTCTGTGAATTAACTCTAGATTCGAACTATCGAGATTCGCAAGGGAGGCGTCGATGCGATCCGAGATTTTTCCTTCGGATTCTCCACCTAATTCCACCGGTTAACACAGTAGAAACTCCAGTGGCTCCTCCACCAGCTCCGATTCTCCGATTCCATCTCCAACAGGCCCGATCCTCAGATTCCATCTCCACCAGCTCTGATTCCAGTTTTAGTTCCAGCTCCGATTCCACCTCCACCAGCTCCGATTCCAGTTGTCGCTTCAGCTCCGACGCCTCAACCAGCTCCGATTCCACCTCCACCAGCTCCGATTCCGCCTCCACCAGCTCCGATTCTCCGATTCCATCTCCAACAGGCCCGATCCTCAGATTCCATCTCCACCAGCTCTGATTCCAGTTGTAGTTCCAGCTCCGATTCCACCTCCACCAGCTCCGATTCCAGTTGTCGCTTCAGCACCGACGCCTCAACCAGCTCCGATTCCACCTCCACCAGCTCCGATTCCACCTCCACCAGCTCTAGTTCCAACTGCTCCGATTCCAGCTTTAGGACCATAACCTTCAGTTCCAATAGCTCCAGTACCCAGCTCCGGCTCCCAGGACTCCGGCTCCTTGAGCTCAATCTCCAAGAGCCCCAGCTCTCCAGCCGAAGCTGGAGAACTGACTGATTCTCACTGTTTCTCTCTCCCCTTATATACGAAATCTCCTGGGAGATTCTTATCTCTTCGCTCCATTTTTTCACTTTTTATATTTTTTTTTCCAAAACGTGAAATTTAATTTCCCGAAATAATTATAATTTTTCAGATTGTTTGCGCGTGCCCCATGTTATAATCACATTCTCTCCTTGTTTTCCAAAGTGCGTGGGTAGCCTAGTGGTGTACGCTGTTGGCTATGAAGCTGAAGGTTTTTGGTTCGACCCCCGCCTAGGGATTTTCTTTTTTTCCAATTTTCCCAGCCCTACCCGTCCTTTCTCAGAAAATCTTTTAAATCTTATCATGAAACCAACAAGGCTATAAAAGTTTTGTTAACTGCGAAAATATAGCTTTTTCAAAGAATTTCAAACAATTTGATATAAATATTGTTAGCCTAGCTTTTTTAGTTTTTGAGATAGAAGTGTTTTCAGGTGAATCATGGAAAGATTTTGTGTTGGTGGCCATTTAAAGGCGCATGGAGACACGGAAAACACAGTTTGTTTTATATTTTATGAGTTTTATTGAATGGATGAAAAAAAAACAAATTCAGAGAAAAATACATGAATAAATCAGAATTTGAAGAAAATTAAGAAGAAAAAAAGATATAAAACTTTGAATCATCACTTTCGTTTGGCAGGTTGAACGTCTTCTTCCTCCACTTCCACCTCCACCAACTTCCTCTTGTTTGTCCTCTTCCTCTCCAGGTAACTGTAGTCCTTCTGGAACCACGCATCGTTCTTGATCTCCTTAATATTGGCACGTTCTGGAGTGTCGACCTCGAGGATTCTTTCCAGCAAATCTGAAATAACGAAAAATTTAAACAAGCCTAGCGAAGCCTAAAACTCACCAAAGACATCATCATCAATATCCCAGTCCATGTCATCATTCATCAGCCAGGTTTCATACTGTAGTTCCTTCTCCGTTGGTTCCTCCCATGGCACATCTCCGATGAGCATCTCCACGAGGCATATACCAGCTGACCAGATGTCTGCGGCTTCTCCGTCAATGTATTTGTGCACCATGCCTTCCGGACACCAATATGCTGGAGTCCCAGCTGGTCGGACCCACAACTTCTCGCCTTCATCGTCGATAAACTTCACGGAGAGCCCAAAATCGCTAATTTTCAGAGTTCCTGGAAAACAAGAAAAAGTTAGAAGAGTTAAAAGCTTTATATCTCAAAAGTTAGGAAAGCCCGAAAAGAATTGTTAAATACAAAAATGTAGAGCATAAAATTTTACACATTTTGTTAGTTAACAAAATTTTGATAGCTAGCATGGTTCACGAGATATAAAGCTTTGAAGTTGCCAGTAAGAGAAGGAGCGGAGACCTTTCTAGCAACTTTAAAGCGGTATATCTCCGGAACCATTCTAGCTATCAAAAAGTTTTCAACTAACAAAATATGTAAAATCTTATGCTGTACATTTGTGTAGTTAAAAACTTTACTCTGACTTTTTTAGTTTTAGAGATATACTCCGTTGAAAAAAAAAAGCGTTACTAAACTTTGAAACGCTATATCTCAAGAACCAGAAAAGCTATCAAAATTAGGTGAACTACAAAAATATAGCTCATAAAGTTCTAAACATTTTGTTAGTTAACAAATTTTAAATAGCCTGAATTGTTCGCAAGTTATGTGCCTTTAAAGATTACCCACCACTCAGAAGGGTGCGCAATGTTTAAAGACGCACATCTCGCAAACCAATAACGCTATCAAGCATTTTTCAACTAACAAAACATGGGAAACTTTAAGAACTACATTATTGTATCTAAAAGTTTTACTCTAGCTATTCTATTTTTGAGATAAAGCGCTTAGAAAAGTCGCTAGAACAAAATAAAGAAAAATTAGACTCACCATCAGTTTTAATCAGCAAGTTCAGTGGCTTAATATCTAGATGTGCCACACCAAGACCATGTACATGCTCTAGGCCAGCAATCAACTGCCGGAAATACTTCTGAGCATACTGTACAGGCATCCCATCACCATAAGTCCGAGTACTGAGGTCCCCACAATAGGCCATTTCTAGGAACAGCCGGGGTAACCCATTCTCCTCAGTCATCGCGAATATTTCACAAACATTCTGATGTTTATGGGTGGAGCCAACTAGAGAATGAATCTCAAATTCATTCTTGGCCATGTAAGCCTTCTCTTTCGAGAATTCCTTCATCGCACAGAATCTGGAAGTTCTTGTACGAATCATGGACACTTCTCCGAAAGCACCTTTCCCAAGCGAAGAGCGGATTTGGTACTCGGAAAACTCAGAAGAGTCAATAGCTGACATTTTAGAGAATACGGTAGGTAAGAATTCTTAAGAATGAGAATGTTAGGTTGTGAGACACTAATGAATGACAAATTTGGGATAGTCGGGGGAGGGGCCGGAGGTATCCAACCCTGTCTTCACCTCCCTTGTAAAAGATTTATGATCTAATCATCATTAAACTCGACGGAGTGAAGGTAGCAGAAAAGATGTCCCCTGGGAAAACGGAAATTTGCAGGTCTAAAAGTGTCAATGGCATCTGGAAACCTAAATAGTCTTGTAGAGGAAGAAATTTGACACATTTTGTTATAAAAACTACACTAGTGCGTTGTGTAAGTCGCGAGATATCAAGCTTCAAACATTTTCTGAAGACGGCAGAAAAATGACACTTGGAAAAACCTGAAATTCTCAACCTGAAACTCTGAAAAACGCCTGGAAATTTATATCATCTTGTAGAAGAAAAAATTTCGCACATTTCGGTACAAAAACTACACTAATCTTTTCTGTAAGTCGCGAGATATCGAGCTTCAAAAAGTTTCTGAAGACTGCAGAAAGGTATCCCCTTTAAAAACGCAAATTTGCAGATCTAAAACCGAACTTTCTCTATGGAAACTTATATAATCTGTAAAATTTGGCACATTTTGGTGCAGAAACAATGTCAAACGGTTGAATATGTCGCGAGATATCGAGCTTCAATTTTTTATTGCTGAAAAAAAAAATTAGTTGAAAAAATCGAAAATTCAAACTTCCCTCTAAAAATTTCAGCTTTCGTGGCGAGACTCAACGGGCGCCTGTCATCAATGTTCCTTTAATTTTCGCACATTTTTGACACAAAATTTTGAATTTTTGTGCAATTTTCCGCGATTTTCAGCCGTTTTCAAGTTTTTTTCCTAGTTTTTTTTGCGAAATTTCAATTTCTAGCTTACCTGAAACCTCAAAATCATTGAAAATGGGCAGAAAGAAGGGAAAGAAGCAGCAGCGTCAGAACCAAATGATGGCGAGTCCGTCGTCGGCGGCGCCGGCGTTTGAGGACCTGGGAAGTCCGAGTTTGGTGGGTTTTAAAGTGATTTTAGGCCTTAAAAATATTGAAAATCCAAAAATTCTCAGGTAGAAGTCGTCAAAAATTCGAATTTCGGCGACGAAGTTGTGATTCCACCGAACGATGACAATTCTTTCAATCAGAATATCTATAAAACGGCCTTTTTGAGTGGAGACAATGTGAATTTGGAGAGAAAGAACAGCTCGAAAGGATCGAACGCTTCTAGCTATCATGATTTGATCGATGGAGGCGCCTATGACAGGTTCCGCTATGGAGCCGGCGATCGTGTAATCGCTGGAAGTCGTTCGATTTCTCATAGAAGTCTTTTCAACGACGACAGATCATTGAATAGATCCCTGAATCCATCCAAAACTAGCCTCGCCGGTTCTAAAGTTAGCCTGGAGTGGGAGGATATGGGAAATGAGAGAAGTAGCTCAAGAGGAGGACGCACTAGTATCGTTATTGGAAGTAGCGACGAAGCGGTTTGTGGATTTTCGGTTTTAGAAAAAGCTAAAAATTCCATTTTTCCAGAGAAAACCATTCGTGCGCAGTCGCACTGTCAGCTCGGGCGGCTCCGTTCGAAATAGCCAGAGTACCAATAATAATAATAATAATAATCTTCTCCCGCCCCTCTCGGGCACTTTGAGCCATCGAGACATCTCCAGCGCCGACGTCCGAACCTTCCACGCCGACTCGGACTACCTTCAGAATCACCTGAGCAAGCTCTCCATACACTCGAACAACGACGAATTCGTGCTCGTTGGAGGCCATCCGCCGCCGATTGATTCCACGAATTCTACGGCTAGCTTGAATCAAGAGGTTCCTGTGCCACGTACGCGCTCCAGACTCTCTAGCTATTCCGAGGAGCAGGACTTGGGAAGATCCGTCTCACAGCAGAGCTTGACTAGAGCGTCTTCTCGCTTTTCTGTTGGCACAAACGGCACAAATTCAAATACAGACGACCGTTTGATATTGGCAGAGAGATATAGCAGATCGCCAGAAGCGGAGGGACTTCTTTTCCAGCAAAATGGGATTTCCAGCCGACCATCTAGCCGCCTGAGCACCAATTCCAGCGATCGTGGAGTCGGATTCGTTGAGATTCCGACACTTTACAGTCATCCGGATGAGAGATTTGATGATGGGGAGGATGAGGAGCCCGGAGAGCCATTCCGGCCAACTTCTGAGCACAGTTCGACGCCTATTGGTGCTCCGAGAGCTCGCAAAACGCTTCTTCGAAATGCTGATATAGAAGATATCCCAGATGGAAGAAATCGCAGATTCTCTTCGTCGTCGTCCAGTGTGAGTAATATTTTAGCCTAAAAATCCTATTTTGTCTGGAATTTTGGTCTTTAAAAGCTGAAATTTGAGCGGAAAATTGTTAATTTATGACTGAAAGTCGATTTTTAAGCTAAATTCGCATTTTCCAGCTTGCTTTCAGAGGTTTTGGGCGATTTTCAGAGAATTTGAGCGAATTCCCAATTTTTTGAGCTCTTTCAGCGATTTTCAAGCCAAATTGGAATATTTCCGGCTGATTAGCGAATTTTGAGCCAAACCGTGATTTTTAGACCTTCGAATTGAAAATTTTCCAGCTCTTTTCAGCTCTTTTTGGGTTATATTGCAATATTTCAAGGTTTTCTGCACTTTTTGAGCTAAATTTTGAATTTTCCAGCTAATTTCCAGCTAAAAATCTTGTTTTTTCCGAGCTCTTGCAGCGAATTTCCAGCCAAATGTTGATTTTTTTTAAAGCATTTACAGAGATTTTTGAGCGATGTTCAGATTTCCATTCTGAACCTAATTATATCAGATTTTCAGCGATTTTCAAGCTCAAGCTCAAATTTTCCAGGTCTCCCGTCACGCTACACCATCAACACCGCTCCTGGTTACATCGGCACTAACGGTTTGAACCTAAAAATATAAACATAACCGATTCGTCGAGAATTGCGGGAAATTTCGGGTTTTGTTTATGTTCATTTGGCTCATTTTACCCGAAATTTCCTAGTTCCTGCTCAATTTTCTCTCAAAAGTCCCATTTTATGCGATTTAATACTCGAACATGCTGTTTTTCACCTCGAAACCCCCCCCCATTTTTGCAGCCAGTGATCCCAAAACGTCATCCACAAATGTCAATGTCTGCGAGCCACTCCGAAGAGTCGCTGGTCATGAAGACGCCTCAAACTGTGCAACGTGGAAATTCGGAGCAAAAATCGCTACGCAGTAATCTGGAGACGATTAAGAAGACGGTGGAGATCGCCGTGCAGACCGGGAATTCCATTCGTTTGCGTCAGAATCAACATTTTGGCGATGGTGAGCAATCTGAGCGCTGAGCATTGACTAGCCCATAAATTAGCATAATCTGGGTCGTAAAATGTTAATTAGGGGGTGTTAGAGCCTCAAAAACCTCTGAAAAGTGTTTAAAATATCTCAAAAAGAGCCATTTTCTATTCTTGGTGCTCTGAAAATTCTAAAAATCATCATTTTCCTGGCATTTTCTCTCCAAAAACTACGATTTCGCAGCCATTTTTCTGAATTTGGTGCTCTAAAAATCCTAAAAATCGCTATTTTCTTTATACCTTCTACCCCTAAAAACTCCAACTGGAGCACTTTTCATTTTTGGCTCTGTAAACATCTCAAACATCATGCTTTTTCTGGCATTTTCTCCAAAAACTTCGATTTCAAGCCATTTTTAATAGTTGGTGCACTAAAAATCTAAAAAAATCATGATTTCTGTGTCACTTACCCATAAAAAATGCACCAGAGAGCCACAAAAAGGGCCATTTTCCATTATTGGTGCTCTGGAAATCCTAAAAGCCATAATTTTAGTGTCATTTTACCCCTAAAACCCTCCGAAAAGAGCCATTTTCTAATGTTGGTGTCTTAAAAATCCGAAAAATCGTCATTTCTATGTCATTTCACCCATAAATCACCAATTTTCGAGTCAGTTTGGTGCTCTAAAATCTGAAAAATCACATTTTCTCTGTCATTTTACTCCCAAAACTCTGATTTTCGAGCCGTTTTAATGCTCTAAAAGTTCAAAAAATCATAATTTCTTGGCCATTTTACTCTAATTTAAGCCCTAAAAACTGCAATTTTCAGTGCTCAGCGAATGCGCCTACCTCCCAGATCCACGTGGATTCGGAATGACACCGACTATCACCACTAGCTTCGTCCCTCAAGACGAAGAGGTTTTTGCTCCGAAAAATGTGCCAGAAGTGAAAAATTCATCCCAAAATTCTATCCGTGCTCGCCTCCGTCATATATCGGATATCTATTCTGCAGAGGATTCAAAAGATTCCAGAGAGAAGGAGACGCCGATTTTGACCCAGAATTATGTGCAAATCCCCAAAAACAGCTCCCAGCCAGCAGCTCGTAAAGCCACCCAGGAGATTGTGGTTCCTATCAGTAAGGCTCCCAGCAAGCCAGACGCTTCTTCTGGACGAGTTGTGGAAATCCCTAAGACCCAGGAACTCAACGGAGACACCATACGAAAGCATATTCCACGTGGACGCATTCGAGATTTGGCATCTGCCTTCGACAAGATGAACGATGGACCTGTGCGTCCTCTGGAGTTCAAATCCCAGGTTCATATCCCAACTGCTATTCCAACTGCTATTATTCCAACTGCCCGTGAAGAAACCCTTTGGAATTCGAGAAAACCATCTGGAGCATCCAGAGAATCCGACGTTAATCGTGCGGACTCCAGAATGAGTGGACCCCTTAGCGGTCTACTAAACAGAAGCTCTTCCAGCGCTTTCCGAAGCTCCACTCAAACGATTCGCTCGCAAGAGGACCGTCGTAGATCCACATCTTCGTCGCTTCATCATCAACCGCACGTCTTCACGAGAAACACCTTTTTGACGTCGTCAGTGGCCAAGCCTGTGCCGCTTCCGATCAATGTTCCAATGAGTACCACATATTCTAGAGAGAATGTTGCTGGGGGCTTTGTCTCAGCTTTTGATAAGGCGTCGTCAATCGAAATCGATAGAGAAAGCCCGCTTCAGAAGACGTTGTCCAACAAGAATCTGGCAAAGTCTCCAACTAAAGACTCGACATTCTCAGAATATTCTAGAAAAGTGGATGTTCCAGTTCGTCTTGAAGTGCCGATCAACAAGTCCAGAAGACAACTGCTATCCAACAACCCAAGAGCCAAAACTCAGGAGATACCAACGTTCGAGTTCGAATCGAGATACGAGTCGCGTGCCGTTAGTGGCGATTTGAACAATGAGAATCCGAGTGTGTTTGGAATTCAGAAGCCGTTGTTCGCCGCGAGTCGAGAAGCGTTTGGACGAGATACTGCAGAGGATTTGCGCGGGAAACAGGTGAGAAAAAGCTTTTTAATAGGCTGAAAATGGACTGAAATGTTCCAAATTATCGGATTTATATGCTCGAAAAGACTCAAAACGACCTTTTCCTTCCAGGACAACTGGCCACTACGCCCACAACAGCACCAATGGACATCGGAATTCCATATGAACGAGACCAGGAACACGAATTCGGTCTCATCGCCAATGTATCATCATACTAATGATCATATCACCCAATCACACCAACAACCAACAACTACAATCACTGAATTCCGAATTAACCATAAGCAACAGCAGCCGGAGATGCTGAGAAGCGTCCAGAAGCCATCCGCACATCACAGGCCTTCGATTTCGTCGTCACGTCATCCATATTCACCGCCAGCGACTGAGGTGAAAGATAGCTCATTTAGGGTCTTTTAGGCCTATTTTCAGCTCATTTAGGCGTGTTTTTAGCTGTTTTAGTCCCATTTGTAGCCATTTTAGTCCTATTTTTAGCTATTTTAGGTTCATTTTCAGCTTTTCAGGCTTATTTTCAGCGATTTGAGGTCTTTTTTAGCTATTTTAGGTTCATTTTCAGCTTTTTAGGCCTATTTTTAAGCTATTTAAGACCTGTTTTTAGCTATTCTAGGTTCATTTTCAGCTATTTCAGGTTCATTTTCAGCTATTCTAGACCTGGTTTTAGCTATTTTTGGTTCATTTTTCAGCTATTTCAGGCTCATTTTCAGCTATTCTAGACCTGGTTTTAGCTATTTTTGGTTCATTTTTCAGCTATTTCAGGCTCATTTTCAGCTCATCTAGGCCAAGGAGTACTGACAACTGATCCTTGATTTTCCAGGACGCCGGAAGCCGTATCACTCACCATACATCTCAAACTCTCCAATCCGAAGACCTCTTTGCCACTGAAGACAGCTCGATCCGTGGAAAAATCGACAGAATGTTTGATTTCGTTGAAAGCGACGATTCGAGAAAGACCCTTCGTGGTGCCACACACGACTTAACGGACACCATTGGCACTAACACTAACAAGTTCCATCGTACCGAGTCACGTCTTCTTAGCAAGGAGATACCGGAAGCATTGAAGGCTTCTCCACCGAAGATGAAGTCACCGGAGAGAAGAAACACCGTGACTGTTCCAGAACACTTTGACACTGATCTAGAATACTCTTTGTCGCAATACCGAGAAATGCAAAGAGAACAGCTTCGTCGACGTCTTCCATCTGCCGACGAACCGCAATTCTTCCGTTCTCCAACACTTTCGGCTCCACATGCCGGTCAATCAATGCATGCTTATCGATCCAAGGACATCATGGGAACGCCAACTGCCGGAGAGAAATTCCGTTTCCCGTCGTCATCGAATAGAACACCGCTTGCCACGTCGACACCTGTTGAATCGCCATCCGGAAGATCGTATTCGAAGAGTTATCTAGAGATGAACAACAATAACACTACTGTACCACCGAACGAGACGTTTGTCTCATCGATTAGCGGAGTTTCGGCAGTTGATAAGCATGTGGATGTGATGAGAAAGATCAATCGATTGTCGTATATGATTGAGAATACGCAGAAGCAGATGAGCATGAACGAGGCGGCACTGATGGATGCCGTCAAGAAAGGGAGGAGATCGCAGGAGGTAGGGTTTTCAGGAAAATGTGGGGGAAAACGGTCATAATTAGTTCGAAATAAATGAAAAATAGAAGGAGAATCGGCTTGAAAATATCTACAAATAAATAGACGAAAATGGTTCTAAAATATCTAGAAATAGAAAAAATATCTAAAAATCGATACAAAATGGCCTAAAATTAGCTAGAAACCGGCGAAAAATGTTTCCAAAATGGCTTAAAATGAATAAAATGTTTAAATAGCTCAGAAATAGCTAAAAGTGGACAAATATGGTTCAACAACAGCTAGAAATGGGCAAGAAGTGACAAAATATGATTCCGGCGGATTTTGGGTCATTTTGAGCGGGAAATTTAAATTTTCAGGCGCATTTTGATCCTGAAAGCTTTAAAATCGGCGTCTTAGCTTAAAATTGGATTGAGGAAATTGGCTCAAAATCATATAATTTGAGCTCTGACATAGTTCTATTATCGAGTACTGGTCAAATATGATTTTGGTAATTATTGGACTGAAATACGCCGTTTTTGGCCGATTTTTGAGCGGTAAAGTTGAATTTTTAGAGCGAATTTTGATCCAGAAATCTTCAAAATTCGGTCTGAAATTGTTTTCAGCTTTGAATTTGGAATTTGGAAAAAATCAGAATTTACGGCTTTTCAGAAAATTGGAATTTTCCAGGTTGAATTTCTTAAATTGACTACAAATTTTATCAAAATGCTTCCAGAATTCTAGATTCCAAATTTCCAGATCGCCGCTCACCGTTCCATCCTAATCAGCCGTGAAACCCTCCGGCTCCAACGCAACGAGCTCCGACGTCTTCACGCGTTCTCCGCCGTCCGTCGTCCGCCACCACCAGTTGCCAAAGAGCTACGGGGATCGGTGATCTTCAAGAATCTCATCGTCCATCTCAACAAGCTATTCGTCTCGCGGCTCACTACAAAAGACGACAATTCGTATTCATTCGTTGGTCTCTTCAAATTCGGCCATCAAATCGAGGCGACAGAACTTGTCCCATTGCGAGTCTATCAGGGAGAGGAAACTGATGATAAGCTGTTCTTTGTGAAGCAAATTCAGTTCTCAGATGTCCCTGTGGATTTTATGGTCACCATTGAGATCTACGCTATGGTAACCTATTGATTATAGGGTCCTTTGTAATACACAAATAGAAGTTACAGCGTGTACCATCGGCAAAACCAGTGGAGCTCTCCATAGGATCGTCGTTGGCCAACAAGTGCAAAAGTTTGATGGGTCCGCGTTAGTTGAGAAATAGCTGAAAATCTCTTATTTTATGTTTTCAGCCCAGAAGAAAAATCCCATAGCACTGGAGACGGCATTCAAGTTCCGTGGTCGTCTCGTTTTGGATCGTGACGCTGCTGGAGAGCGTTGTCTGTATCTGGATGACGTCACGTATCCGCTGGAGGGAACTGTGATGATTACCACGCAATGTAGCAGACTTCCAGAATCGTTTGAGATTGATTTTCGGGGGTTTTTGGTTAGTTCTGAATTTTCTAGCTATCAATGCTTTCAAAAATAAGCTTTGAAAGCTCAGAAGAACCCGAAAATTGATTTCCAGACAATGTTCCACACGATAAGCAACATGGCGAGCTGGGAACGCTACTGGGCGGTGCTGCGTCGTGGCGTCGTGCTCTTCTGGAAGTACCCGGACGACGAGCAGAATGGACGTGAGCCGAAGATGCAAATCGATTTGACCAAGTGTACGAACAACTCGATTGAGAAGTGCTCTGCGGATTTGTGCCCACGACCCGAATCGTTTGTCATTGAGATTCTTGTCGACGCGGAGGATGGAACCATAGGAAGTGTTGTCGAGAAGAAGAGGTTCGGGGTTTTTTAATGGAAAAATACTAAAATTGATACCAAGACTGCGAATTTCGTGTCGTTAGACTTGTCAGCCATCAAATTCCCGTCATTTTGAGACCCACATTGCCCATGTTCGCAAAATTTTTGGAATTCTGAATCCCAGAAGACGTGAAATTTGGAAACACACCATTTTTCGAATTCTCAAGCAAGAAGACGTCATTTTTCATCAAAAATTTGAATTTGAAACAAATTTTCGTTGATTTCGGTTTTTCACTCTGATTTTGACCCATTTTTTCTCTGGATTTCCAAACTTCCTACAGTAACCCATTTTGGCGGCATGCCAGAAAATGACAAAGGAAAGCCCCGCCCACATTTCCCTATGCTTATTTTGTTATGGAAAAAAGGGGCGGCGCTTGGCATGGTGCCAAAGCATGGGTTACTGTAGATTTTGAAGATATTGCAAAAATAGTCCAAAAATCCGTCTTTTAAAGTCAAAATTATGGACAAACAGGCCCAATTTCAACAAAAAAAACGCGAAAATTGACTTTCAGATCTCTAACGTCTTCTAAATCCCTCCAGAATCATTTTCAGCAAAATTCACATCGTTAACAGTGTTTTCTGCGAATTCCCATCATTTTGATATCAAAATCGACTCGATTCGGTTTGTTTCGAAATTCGACGTCTTCTGAATTCTGAATTCAAAAAATTTCGGAAACATGGGCAATATGGGTATCAAAATGACGGGAATTTCATGGGTAACAATTCTAACGTCATGAAATTCGCTGAAAAATCGAAATAACTTCAGAAAATTTAGTTTTCAAAAAAAAATTGGATTTTCCATGATTTTTTGGGACATTTTCATGAATTTCTCATCGTTTAAACTCTTTTCCCTGAATTTTCCATTATTTTGATACCAAAACCGGCCCCATTCGGTGCGATTCGAAATTCGACGTCTTCTGAATTCAGAATCCCCAAAAAATTGGAAACATGGGCAATATGGGTATCAAAATGACAGAAATTCAATGGGTAACAACTCTAACGACACGAAATTCTCTGAAAATTGCTGAGAATTCGCTTTCTGTCACTTTCATCAATTTTTGACCATTTTCAGAGTTCTTCTCTCTGCCGACACATCGGAAATGCTGTCTCAATGGCTGTTCACTCTCAACCAAACGCTCGACGTCATCCGCGGACCCATTTGATCTCTTATCGATTTTATTGATTTTTAATATTGTTTCTTGCCTGTTAAATTAGACCCCCCCCCTCTAATAGCTTTAATTAAAATCTTCTAGTAGATTGTAGTTTGTAGTATCTTTTTTAGCCCCGCCCACCATCCATTTTTTTTTATCGTTTTATTGTTTGCCATCACACCCCGAAAAAATCACCCCTCTCACCTCCCTTAAAAATCAAAATCACAATCACTATTGAATAAAGTTGAAGGGCCCAAGATTTACTTTAGGAACAATTAGGGGATTTTTTAGAATTTTTGAGAAAAAACATTCAAAAATTTGAAAAATTTTCTAGAAAAAATTAGCATGACGATATTCGTCTGGTCCGGCTCCGGTCCACTTCTGATTCTCTATCTGGAGGCGGTTATAGGCGAGGATCAGCACTGAAAATTTAAATTTTTACCAAAAATTTGAAAAAGTTCAATAGAGCGAATTTGCTGAAACTCACGGATTTCGAGGATCTGAGCAATCGCCAAGGAGACAAGACTACGGCCAAGAAGAATGCCGTTTCTCTGAAAACGGGCGTAGCAGACGAGAGCAGCAAAGACGATGTAGTTATTGAAGTTGCAAATCTGAAAAAAATTCTTTTAGTTCGGTGGAGCGCGCTTGCCAAAAAATTTTTTTTTGAAAAAACCCAAGTTTCTTGAATTGTTTTGATTTTCAGCGGCTTTCATGTTCTTAGAACTGTTCCCCATCAAATTCCCGTCGTTTTGATACCCATATTGCCCATGTTTCCGAAATTTTGTGAATTCTGAATTCAGAAGACGTCAAATTTCGGATCGCACTGAATCGGGTCGATTTTGGTGTTAAAATGATGGGAATTATATGAAAAACAGTTTTAACGATGTGAAATCACAGGAAAAATAGGGAAAAAGTCAACAATTTCCGATTTTTTTGAAAAATTGAAATTCGAAAAAAAAATTTTTTTTTGAAATTTCCCCGATTTTTCAACATTTTTTAAGTTTTTGAAAGAAAATTGAATTCTGTTTCGTTTTTTATTCAAAAATCAACTCGAAATTTATGAAAATCCGAACTACAAACCGTTTTGTTCGGTGGAGCGCGCTTGCGCATGTGCCAAAATTCATTATCTCGATTTTAAGCTTTTTCGATATTTTCTGCTGTTCCCATTGTTTAGAAAGTTGGAACACACATGTTAGATGCAAAAAACGGATTTTGGCAAAACGAAAACGAAAAATTTTGCAAAAATCGATTTTCAGAATTTGAACGCCTTCTAAATCCCTCCAGAATCATTTTCAACAAAATTCATGTCGTTAACAATGTTTTTGGTGAATATTCCATCATTTTAACACCAAAATCGACCCGATTCAGTGCGATTCGAAATTCGACGTCTTCTGAATTCAGAATTCACAAAATTTGGAAACATGGGCAATATGGGTATCAAAATGACGGGAATTTGATGGCTAGCAAGTCTAACAACACGAAATTCGCTGAAAAATCAATAAATTTTCACAAAGGCTAGTTTTTTCAAAAAAACGTTTTTTTCAAAAATGTTCTCCTTTTTTTTCAAACTGCGTGTTTTTGTCTTATTCACAACAAAATCGCAAAAAAATCCCAAAAAATCGGCGAAAAACCCAGTTTCTCGCAAAAATTAATTTTCCGAGCCGTGTAAACGCGCTCCACTGAGAATATGCTTAAAACGGTCGTTTCAACGGAGTTTTAGTCAATTTTCAGCCAAGTTTCAACCAAAACATACCATTGTAAACGCCACAGCTGTCATTAGCATTCTGAAGATTTCCAAAGTCGGAATTGGGGAGAAAATTCCAAGAATTCCGATGATAGCATGAACTCCAATGACCAATCTCGAGTACAATAATTCGGATCCAGTGAACAAGTTCGCAGCAATTACGAAATTGTTCGCGAAGACCATCTGAGAGAATTCAGAAGACTCCAAACTACAAAAACTACAAACTAGAGACTTACCACGAAGAGATTGACGATCTTATTCATTTCGACACAAAATGACAGGAACAAAAACGGAGAATGAGCAATTCTATGTTATGAGAAGGACATGTCATGGGACGTCCCGCCCACTTTTCCCCCATCTCTTTGAAAAACCCATGGGGGCCACCTGTTGCAATGGACGCCTAAATGTCGAGTGGTTTTTTTTTTTTGAGTGTCGCCGAGAGAGAGAGGGGGTTACTGTGGATTTGGAAACTTTTCAGGGTATTTGAAAAATAAGGAATTGCAAAGCTTAAAATTTTACACATTTTTCTAGTTGACAACTTTTTGATAGCTTTTTTAGTTTTTGAGTTATGCGCCTTTAAAAATAGTAGTCAGTCATCTCTGCGGCTAAGGATGAGCGAACTTTGAAAGCGCATAACTTTAAAACCAAAACACATAGAAAAATTTGGTTAACTACAGTAATATAGCTCTTAGATATTTACACATATTGAATTAACCACTTTTTAGTAGCTTTTGTAGTTTTTGAGATATGCGCCTTTAAAGGCCAGCATTCTCTGCGTCACTGACCTCCTTCTTGGGGTACGCAAACTTTAAAGGCGCATAACTCTAAAATCAAGACTGGTAGAAAACGTTTGTTAACTACAGTAATATAGAATTTCAAATTTTACACATTTTTCTAGTTAACAACTTTTTGATAGCTATTTTAGTTCTTGAGTTATGCGCCTTTAAAAATAGCAGTCAGTCATCTCTGCGTCTAAGGATGAGCAAACTTTAAAGGCGCATAACTTTAAAAGAAAACAGATAGAAAAATGTTGTTAACTACAGTAATATAGCTCTTAAAATTTTACACAATTTTGTATTGTGCAGCTTTTTGATAGCTTTTCTAGTTTTTGAGTTATGCGCCTTTAAAGTTGGTGCGCCTTGGGGGCGCAAACTTTACAAGCGCATAACACAAAAAGAGGGGTAGCTATCAAAATACTGTAAACTACAAAAAGTTAGAACTTAAAATTTTACAGATTTTGTTAATTAACATTTTTTTGATACCTTAAAAAATACCTGAGATATAAAGGTTTGAAAATTGTCAAAAAATTCGGAATTTTTCTACAAAAATTTTCTTGATTTTCAGATTTTTTCCTGAAAATATGCAAATTTTTTATTTTAATATCACTCTCTAACCGTTTATTAGTGACACAAAAAAGGACAAATACAGAAAAAATTTCAAATTCAAAAAATTTAAAAAAAAAACAAAGCAGACTAGAACAAAAAATCTCGGAGAACATCATTGAAAGGGAAAAGTACAGTAACCCGTAAATTCAAAAAATTTTAGAATCGCTTTGAAAAATTATAAATAGGCCATATTGATATGTCCATCTCGTCGATACACTTTCGGTTGGTATCTTCTGGAGGCAGATGACGTGTAAATGTGCTTGCTCATATCATCGGTAGATGTAGATTTCTGCAACGAAAATGGTTACAACTTGAAAACTAAAATTGCTAAGTGAAAATTTTTTTTAATCGCAAAAATGTAGAACTTTGAATTTTACACATTTTATTAGTTGACCATTTTTTGATAGCTATTTTAGTTTATGAGTTATGCGCCTTTAAAGTTTGCGCGCCCAATACTCACGTGCATTAGGAGTGCGCAACCTTTAAAGGCGCATAACTCAAAAACCAAAAAAGATAGAACATTTTTATTAGTTGCAAAAATAAAGAACATAAAATTTCACACATTTTACTAGTGACCAAAATTTTTCTATCTATATTGGTACATGAGTTATGCGCCTTTAAAGTCTGCGCTCCCTTGTGAGGGTGCACCTCAAGCTGCGTCTTGGCACACTTTCTCTCTAAAGACGCATATCTCAAAAACTACAAAAGTTAGTTAAAAGTGAATAACTACAAAGTTATGTAAAATTTCAAGAACTGTATTAATGTAGTTGGCGAAAATTTTGTATCTAACTTAGTTTGTAAGTTATGCGCCTTTAAAGTTTGCGCCCTTTACTCGCGTGCATAAGGAGTGCGCAATCTTTAAAGGCGCATTTCTCAAAAACTAAAAGCGCTAGAAAATTTTTATCAGGTGCAAAAATAAAGAACATAAAATTTTACACATCTTACTAGTGAACAAAGATTATCCATCTTTCTTGGTTTTTGAGCCTTTAAAGTCTGCACTCTCTGCGTCTCGTTGTGAGGTTGCACCGCAAGCTGTGTCTTGGCACACTTTCTCTTTAAAGACGCATATCTCACAAACTACAAAAGCTATTAAAAAGTAGTCAACTAGTATAATGTGTGAAATTTAAAGAGCTATATTACTGTAGTTAACAAAATTTTAGTAGCGCACTTAGTTTTTGAGTTATACGCCTTTAAAGTCTGCGCTCCCTACACATATTTCTTCGCCGCATCTCAAACTTTAATGGCGTATATTTCAAAAACTAGAACCGCTATCAAAAAGTTGTACACTACAAAAATGTTGAGCATTCTTAGCTCTTCCTGATCCCACATACCATTTGTGTCCCATATCCTTCTGCCACGTCATACGTGTCGTCATCTGGAGATCTGACCATCGATCGATTGATATGACCTCCGATCCTCCTTGGCACCGCAAACGCATCGATTTCAGTAGCCTTTTTCCATCCATGGGATTCTTCAGAAGACGTTTTCTGATTCCAACGTCTTCTGATAGCCAGAATACATAGTGATAAGGCGATAAGGGAGATGAAGCATAGCATAGAAAGGAGAATCCATGTGGTAGTGTTGGTAAAGAATCCATAGAATCCGGAGCTTCTAGAAAGCTCAAATTGACACGTGGCAAAAACCTTAGAAGACGTGGAGACTTCAAAATATTGATTTTTAAGGTACATCGGATGTATAAATTGATTCTGAGCCAGAAGACGTCGGAAACAGAATTCTGGAGACATTTTCAATTGGATTCTTCTAGAAGTGAATAGCATTGGAAGAGGAATCCGGGATTTGACCTCTTTTCCACGGCCATCAATTTGAATTGAAATTCGACGTCCATCGTCGCTCATCTGGAGCAGAAGACGATGCCAACGACCGTCGTTGACGCCACGTGGCTTCTCGATTTTTGTCTCGATTGGACGAGTGAATTCGTCGGAGATGGAGAATTGGATGGAGCCGGAGTGGAGCTGGAATTTTTATAAAAATTTAATTTTTAAAAAGAATTTTCTGAATTTTTGAATTTTTGAATTTTTGAATTTTTGAATTTTTGAATTTTTGAATTTTTGAATTTTGAATTTTGAATTTTTGAATTTTTGAATTTTTGAATTTTTGAATTTTTGATTTTTTGATTTTTGAATTTTTGAATTTTTGAATTTTTGAATTTTCGAATTTTTGAATTTTTGAATTTTTGAATTTTTGAATTTTTGAATTTTTGAATTTTTGAATTTTTGAATTTTTGAATTTTTGAATTTTTCGAAAAAAATTCAAAATTCAAAAATTCAAAAATTCGAAAATTCAAAAATTCAAAAATTCAAAATTCAAAAATTCAAAAATACAAATTTGTAGTTTGTAGTTTGTGCTCACCTCAATAACCGCCGTTTGCTTTCCAAATTCCACTCTCAAAATCTCACTGTCTTTCTCCTGATTTGTGCGAAAATCCATTTCGACTTTTTGAATTTTTCCGTCACAATTTGAATCACAAAATTCAAAATCCGAAGAATTTTTCTTCACAATCTCCAGAATCCCTCCAGAAGACGTCGAGAAGACGTCGTCAAATTTTTCACAAGAAGAGAAACTTTCGAATCCAAAATTTCCAATTTTACAACGACAAATCGCGTTCGAATTTTCCATGTAGCAGCTTCCAGATGCTCCACAATCGACGTCATCACAATTTTCAGGATCCACGTCATCTTTCAGAACTTCTGAAGTCTCTTCTTCACATTTGCCGTTCTCACAGAAGCATTTTCCAACTAATTTGCCTTCTGGGATCCCTAGAATTCTTCTAGACCCTTTTTCCAAAATCCTCTGACACGTGGCATTCTTCTGAATACAGATGACGTCACTGCAGACGTCTTCTGAAGTGAATCCCAAGAATTCAAGGTACATCTGACGATGCTTTTTGAAGAAGGAGCTCAACGTCTTCTGAACTTCAGGCGTTGTCACTACAACTCCATTTCTATCCACGACGCCTAGAACGACGTCATATTTGACGTCTTCTGAATGTTGCCACGTGGCGAGGAGGTGAATTTTCATATCAGAGTAGGCGTCACGAAGGTTTTGGAGCAATTTGGAGATTCCAGATTTTCGGGAGAAAATTGAGAATTGGACGGCTTCTTTTTCCAGATTAGGAGCTTCAGAAGACGTCAAATTTAAGACTTCAGAATCCTCAGGATCCTCCGCGAAAATTCTTATAGCTCCCAATTGATAAATTCGATCCTTCTCCAGAATTCCACGTCTTCTAACCTCTCCAGAATCCGGGGAAATTGTGAAAATCGAACTTTGGAAATCGAATTTTTGATTGACAGCTTCAAATCCACGTGGCAGATGGAATATTGGGTTGCTGGATGAAGCGAATACTACAGTAGGCAAAGTTTGATGTGCAGGCTTTCCTTCGGGGGTTACTGTAATGGTGACATGGCATCTAGAAGACGCCAGAAGCAATGAGAATTGATAGGTGCCCGGTTGAAGACGTCGAAGAGAAAAGATTCTGGAGGCATTGACGTGGAATAGGGGATTCTGAAAATTTTAGATTTTTTTTTGAAATTTTGCTTTTTGAAATTTTACCTTTCTCTGATTCTCCACTTTCATTTTGCACGTCTTCAACAATTCAGAATCATCCAAAAATTCGAAATTGAAAATTTCCAAGTTCTTGGGATTCTCGAAAAAGTAGAACTCGTGCGGAAAAACTGGGCATGCTGGGATGTCGTGTTGTGGGCTGATTGTGATAGTTGTTCTGAAAAAGCAAGTGTAACTTTTTTCGTTTTTGAGATATCAAAAAGTTTTCAACTACAAAAATGTAGAACATAACATTTTACATATTTTGTTAGTTTATAATTTTTAAGTGCCTGTTTTTATTTTTGAGTTATGCGCCTTTAAAGTTGGCGCGCTTCCTTTTCTGCGTTTTCAGCGCGCGCCAACTTTAAAGACGCATAACTCATGTATCAGATGATGTAATTTAATTTTTTAAACTGGATTCTCATAAAGCATAAAATTTTAAACATTTTCACAATTCACACCAATTCTCTATCTATTGTAGTTTTTGAGCTATACGCCTTTAAAGTCTCTGCGTCTCTTTCCCTTGGTCTAGGCGCGGCCTCTCTTTAAAAGCGCATAACTCATGAACCAAACAAAAGTAAACTATGTTTTAAATTAGATTTATGTAAATCATAAAATTTTAAACATTTTTATAATTTACACCAAATTTTTATCTTTTCTAGTTTTCGAGTTATGCGCCTTTAAAGTTGGCGCGCACTTCCTTCTCTGCGTCTTTCCCCCTCCTTCTCAGCGCGCGCCAACTTTAAAGGCGCATAACTCAAAAACCAAAAAAGCTATCACAAAAACTTTAATTGACAAAATGTGTCAAATTTTTTGCTCTACATTTTTGTAATTTACCCCAAAATCCTATCTTTTCTAGTTGTTGAGTTACCCCTTACCTTTTGTGATCAGCATCGAAAATTTCCAATTGGGTCGCTTCAGGAACTGGTGACGTCTTCAGAATCAAGTTCCCATTGCTCATATGGAAGAACTGGTTATTTTCCATGAAAATTGAATTTTTCGAGGTCCATAAAATCGTTCCCGGTGCAGATTCAGACGAGATTTTGAGATCCAAAGATTCAGGAAGATTTGAATTTCTCTTAATCGATTTTTCGAAAACCATCGTTACGTCTTCTGGAGTTTCTGGAGCTTTTTGAATATTCAAAGAGAGATTCTGAGATCGACGTGGGTATAAATCATCGTGGCAGGTGACGTGGACACTTCTGGAGTCGTTTGAGTAGAAGAATCCCGTTTTGGAGATGTGGAATCCGGGGATTTCAGGATTCACGCATTCAGAAAAATTGACCCGAGATTCAGAAGACGTTAAATTCAGAATTATAGGATTCAGAATTTCTGAATCCTCCACCATGACATACGACGTCATCGTGGTGTTCTCCAGAATCCAAAAAGCTTCTGGATTCTTCTCCAACTTCAGAATCCCCTCTCGGGTTACTGTAGCAATTCCACGTGGCGCCAGAAGCGCTCCAGATGAGAATCCCTCCCCAATAACGTCTCCGGGCTTCGCAGAACTTCTCAATTTTCGAATTCTGACGTCTTCTGCCACATAAACCTTCACGTAATTCTGAAGACGTGGCGTTCCATGATCCATAGCGACGACTTCTAGAATAGTGACGTCATCTGAAAGTGGGCGGAGCTTAGTGAGCAATCCGGAGTCTGGATGGATTCTGAAGAATGGAGACGTCAGAGAATACGTGATTTTTCCATTTGGTCCAGAATCCAAGTCAGTGGCGTGGAGTTTTCCAATTTCAGAGGAATTCTGAAAAATTGAATTTTTTGAAAATATATTTTTTCCAAAAGTTAAAAATTGATACCTTTTGGGACACAAAAATGTACTCCGATTTTTCAAATATCGGAAAATTATCATTGACATCTTTGATATTGATAAAAAGGCTCGTCTCGATAAGCCACGCTCCATCGGTAAGGCGAACTTTGATACGGTAGGAGGTCTTCTGAAATATTCTTGTAGTTTGTAGTTTTTGTAGCCTTTGTAGTTTTGGAATTTTTGAAAATCTTCGAATTTTCGAATTTTTCGCATTTTTGGAATTTCGGAATTTTAGATTTTTCTAGGTCATGACCTAGATTTTTTTTTAGGTCATAGCCTCAATTTTTCTAGGCCATGACATAGTTTTTTAGGCTATGACCTAGTATTTTCTAGGCCATGGCCTGGATTTTTCTAGGTCATGACCTAGATTTTTTTAGGTCATGACCTAGAGTCTTATAGGTCGTGACCTAATTTTTCTAGGCCATGACCTAGTTTTTTCTAGGCCATGACCTAGTTTTTTTAGGCCATGACCTATTTTCATTTTTCTAGGTCATGACCTAATTTTAGATTTTTCTTAGAATGAATTTCACATTTTTGTAGTTTGTAGTTTTTGTAGTCTTCATAGTTTGTACCCACCTTCTCAAAATTCAGTGTATCATTCACAAAAACTCTTCCAGTCTCCTGCTCAACTCGAAACGGAACCACCTCTCCAGAACCTTCGAATTCAAATTTATGATTCGAAATTTCATCTGAATCCGACGCCGTCAGCTGAATAATCTCCTTTCCAATCCCCACGTCTTCAGGAATTTCCACGTGGAAAATTCTGGAGAATCTCGGAGCATTATCATCCTCATCAAGGACCCGAATCAACACTGTCGTATTTTCACGCCTTCTGGGTTTTCCATCGTCAAATGCCTCCAGAATCAATCGATATTCCGATTTCGACTCTCGATCCAAATCTCGAATCGAATCAATCTGTCCATTATCACTTATCACAAACTCGTGATTAGGATCGCCCGAAACAATCTCATAGAAGATTCTGGAGCCAGAATCCGCATCCCGCGCGATGACGTGACCGATGAAAGTTGGTCCGGAATTTTCCGTAACATTGAATTTATAAACCTGCTGGGAGAATCGAGGACTGTTATCATTGATATCCAAAACCTTGATTAGAATCTTGGTGATTGCTTGAAGAGGCTTGTTATCGACGAATGAGGTGGCAATGACAAACACCGGACACTCGGAGAACTTTTCTCGGTCTAGGGAGGCTCTAAAATTCAGAAATTTGTATTTGAGGTTCTAGAAGACAAAAGTTTAAGCAGTTTACTAGTTTACAAAAATTAGATAGCTATTTTAGTTTGCGTGATATGCGCTTTTAAATATTAGGTACATCGGAGGAGGCGGTGGCAAGGGGTGCGCAATCTTTCAGGGAGCATAACTCAAAAAGGGGCGGGCTACTAAAATTTTGTCAACTTCAAAAATGTAGAACATAAAATTTCCCGTTTTTGAATATAACTTTCATGCATATATATTTTTTGGGTCACGAGAAAAAAGTGGATAAAGTTTGCGTGTGTCAGAAACAAGGTGGAGTGAGGCGCGCGATCTTGAAAGGCGCATAACTCAAAAAGGGGGCAAGGTTACTAAAATTTTGTCAACTACAAAAATGGAAAAAATAAAATTTCCTACAATTTGGTATAAATTTCATAAAACTCTCTTATGTCGGTCGCAAGATACAAACGTTGGAACCTGGCGCAAAGGGCTAAGTCAGCTGCGAAGAGCGTGCAATCTTTAAAAGCGCATAACTACTGAAAGGGGTGAAGCTACTAAAAAGGTGTAGACGACAAAATTGTAGCAAATGAAATTTTTAAACATTATTTTAGTTAACAAAATTTAAATAGCTTTTTTAGTTTTTGAGATGTGGGTCTTTAAAACTTACACACCTCTCAGGAGGCGTCGACAAGGGATGCGCGATCTTCAAAGGCGCATAACACTAAAAGGGGCGGAGCTACAAAAAATTTACAAACATGAAAATGTAGAACATAAAATTTGAAATATTTTAATAGTTGACAAAATTTTGGAAACTTTACTGGTTTTTGAGAAATGCGCCCTTAAATTTTGAAGAGCCGTCGCTTACCTTGTCTTACTTTCAGAAAATATATCTCATTATCCACAAAAGGCATTTTTATTAAATTTGTACCAAGATACGTAAAATTTAATTTTCTACATTTTTTTAGTTATCAGAATTTTAGTAACTCAATCCCTTTTTAAGATATGCGCCTTTGAAGATGAGTGGGGAGCGCGTTCCCAAGCTAGCTTCTTTTCCCTCTCTCCCTTCCCCCTTCTATTTCACCTACGTCGTTTTTAGAATCCCAGAAACCGGCTCAATCTCCAAGTGCTCTTTACACTTGCTCACAATCGAATACCGTACCACTCCAGAACTTTTGGCTTTGTAAACAGCCAATTCTTGTGTCTCGTGCTCTCTAACAGTGACCATTTCCATCTTCTCAGTGAACACTGGGAACCCATTTTTGGATTTTTTGAAAAATCGATATTCAGAATTCGCCACGTGTCCAACGTCATCAATTACAGTAACCCGAATTGATGATGGGTAGGTGGATTCAGAAGTTTGAAGGATTTCTCCGAGGTCCGAAATTTTGAAATTCGAATTGTTCAGTGAAAATTTAAGGTGATCGTTAGAATCGAGGTCGGATACATCGATGACGTGGATAACGTTTTCTGAAGAAAAGGATTCTGATACATAGACGTCGAGGTTGGAATTCAGAATCACTGGAGAGTGATCGTTGACGTCTTCAACTTCAATTTCCAAGGATGCTCTTGAAAATCTCTCGCCATCAGAAACCAGTACGAAAATTTGATATTCTGAATCCTCTAATTTTCCAGCTACCGTAATCCATCCAGTTGCGACGTCAATTCTAAACGGTATGATGCCTTCTGAATCCCATGAGTACTGTAAAACAGAATTCAAATCTGCATCCGTCGCTTGAATTCTCAGAATCTTGACGCCAATTTGAACATCCTCCTTGATTTTCACATAGTACGATGGTTGATCGAATTCTGGAGCGTTATCGTTAACGTCTTCTACGTGAATCAGAATTCGTGATGTTGCCGAGAGTGATCGGAATCCAGAATCTTTGGCTTCGATGAGAATTTCGTGGGTGAGGATTCTTCACGATCCAATGGGGTTAGGGAGAGAATGTCGCCTGAAAAACGTGATGGTAATTTATAGGCGCATAAATCAAAATCTAGAAAAGATAGAAACTTGGTGTAAATTGCAAAAATGTAGAACATAACATTTCACACATTTTTGTAGTTGACATTTTTGTGATAGGTATTTTAGTTTTAGAGTTATGCCTTTAAAGATAACACACCTATCTGGAGGAGGCTGTGAGGGGTGGGTGATCTTTAAAAGCGCATAACTCATGAACCAAAAAAGGTAAATTAATTGATTAAGGTAGATTCTTGTAGTGCATACAATTTTTGACATTTTCACAATTTTTGCTAACTTTCTATCTTTTTTACTTTCTGAGTTATGCGCCTTTAAAGATTGCACATTTCTGAGGAGGCGGCTCGGCGCCCTCCCTCTCCGGAGTACAAGCAAACTTTAAAGGCGCATAACTCATGAACCAAAGCAGCTATATAAAAACGTTTAGCTAACATAATTTGTAACATTTTAAGCTCTACATTTTTGTAATTAACACATTTTTAATAGTAATCTTAGTTTTCGAGATATGCGCCTTTAAAGATTGCGTACCCCTTTGCCGCCCTCATGATAGTCAGGAGGAGGCGGCAAAGGGTGCGTAATCTTTAAAGGCGCATATCTCGAAAACTAAAATTACTATTAAAAATTTGTTAAATAACAAAATGTGTAAAATTTTCCGTTCTACATTTAATAATGCAACCCAAATTTCTATCGTCTTTAGTTTTTGAGTTGTGCGTCTTTAAAGATTGCGCGCCTTTCCGGAGGAGGCGGCAAGGGGTGGGCAATCTTTAAAGACGCATAACTCATGAACCAGATAAAGTAAACAAATTTTTCAAATTAGATTCTTATAAAGCATAAAATTTCACAAGTTTTTACAATTTACAAAAGTATTTTATCTTCTCTACTTTTTGAGATATGACGCATATCATATGCGCGTTTAAAGATTACCCACCTCCTCTCGAGCAAGCTCCAACTTTAAAGGCGCATAACTCAAACACCAAAATAGCTATCTAAAAATTGGTAACTAACAAAATGTTTAAAAATTTATGTTCTACATTTTTGTAATGCAACCCAAACTTCTATCGTCTTTAGTTTTTGAGTTATGCAGCTTTAAAGAATCTCTATGTTTAAAAGCCCTACCTGTCGTCGAATTAACCACGAAAAGGCTGGTATTCCCAGAGAGGATACTGTAGGTGACCACACTATTTTCATCCAAATCTTCAGCAATCGAACTTCCAATAATTAGGGGATAACTGGCTTCTTTTTGCTCTTCCCGGACCCATAAATTCACCAAATCCCCGGTGATAAAACGTGGCACTTCGTCGTTCTCATCGATGATATCAATGATGACGTGGCATTCAGAAGACGTGCCTGAAGACGTGCTGGCTTCGATGGTGAGGATATAGGACGTGATAGTTTCGAAATCCAGCGGGGAATTGGTATACAGTACTCCATCGAAGGGGGAAATTGTAAAATTGAAATCGTCGTTGAGGATTCTGAATTTGACGTCGGCAGATGTCGAATCTTCAGAGTCAAGTTTGATTCTTCCAATCTCCAAAAATCGATCTGATGATTCTAACACCGAAAAGTGAAATGTGGAATTTTCAAATTTCAGAATTTTTGGATCTTCTGAATCCTCCAAAACAAAAATTCTCGCCGTGCAGAATCCTGAATCCTCGGCGTCGTAGGAAATCGCTTGAATTTTCAATTCCACGACTTCATTTTTCCGAAGACCTGACGTCTTCTGAATCACCCCTGAAATCGGGTCGATTCTGAATTTTTTGGAATTTTTTCCTCCGGAATTCAGAATCCTCCACGTGGCTTTTTGGGAGGCCTTCATACTTCCGACGACATCGCTTGTGACGTAGAATTCAGAATCTTCACATTGGATTCCAAATTCATCAGAATCCACCAAAAATTCAATAGTAACGTCATCTGAATTCACTTTGAATGGGGGACGTTGATCCTGGATTCTTATAGTGGCGTTGAAAGATTCAGAAGGCGAATTCTGAAGACGTAACACTCCAGAATCCGAAATCTCCAGATGCTCCAAAGAATCTCCGTCGACGACGTGGAAATTGAAATCGGAGAATTCGTCGGGATCCTCAAAAATCAATTGATATTCTAAATGCTTGGAGGCAATAATTTTCCCAGGGGCATTCAAAATTTTTGGAGAGTTATCGTTGACGTCTTCTATGAAAATCAATAAATCGAAAATTCGATTTTCCACTGGCTCGATCATTTTTGTTTCCAGCAAATTTTCCGATTCTCGATCAAAGATTTTTGTAGTTCGGATTATTCCATTTTTGTCGATTTCCAGGCCACAGGTGGCGTCGATTAAGCGGTATTTTGAATGGGGAGCTGAAATTAGATTTTTGTAGTTTGTAGTATTTGTAGTCGCACTCACCATTTGGCACGATTCCCACTACTGTACCGACTTCTGAATTCTCTTCAACTTCAAAAATCAGCTCGTTCTCCTTTTTGAGCTCCTTGGAACTTCCAAAAAATAGGGTCACATTGATTTTCGTACTCAATTTTCCCTTTTTGACAATTCCAGACAATTCATAAAGGGGTTTAGAAGGTGTGAAGTGTTTCTTAGCGTAGATTTCAGAATCCCTCACATAGAAGAAGTCATCGATGACGTCGATGATGACGTCATCCCTTGGGATTCTGATGGCACCCAAGGAATTTTTTGATTTCAAGGATTCTGAAGGCACTAGGAGCAGAAAATTGGTTTTTGGAAGGATAAGACGGTCCTCGATCACTTCGATTGTAACCTGGAATTATTAAATTTTTAGACTAAAATTTTTAGGTTATCCGCCTTTAAAGTCTTTCTTTTCTTGGTTTGGGGGTTCATATAGGCGCATTCTCTCTTTAAAGGCGCACAGTTCAAAAAGGGGCGGAGCTACTCAAAAGTTGTTAACAACAAAAATGTAAAAAATTGAACTTTCTACATTTTATTGATTGCCAAACTTTTGTTATCTTATACGATTTTTGAGTTATGCGCCTTTACAGTTTGCGCACCCGAAGAAGTAGGCATAACACACAGAGAAGCTGGCCCGCTAACTTTAAAGAAGGCGCGTAACTCAAAAAGGGGTGGAGCTATTAAAATGTTGTTAACTACAAAAATGTGACTCATAAAATTTTGTAAACTTTACTAGTTAACAAAATTTAACTAGCTTTAGTGACTTTGGAGTTATGCGCCTTTAACATTTGCATGCCCTGTACATGCGTGAGTAAGGGGTGTGCAATCTTTAGAGATGCGTAACTCGAAAACGTTGTAAATTATCAAAATTTTGTTAACTGATAAAATGTAGCTGATAAAATTTTACATAACTAAACAGTTAACAATTATTAAGTACCTCTTTTAGTTTTTGTGTAATGCGCCTTTAAAGTTATTGCGCCGACTTCTCGCGTGCATCAAAAAGTGTACAATCTTTAAAGGCGCGTATATCAAAAAAGAAAAAAGCAATGAAAAAGTTGTTAACTAATAAAATGCAGCTGATAAAATTTTGTAAATTTTACTAGTTAACAAAATTTAGCTAGCTTTTATGGTTTTTGAGTAATGATCCTTTAAACGTTGTCTTGCACATCAGAAGGAAGGAAAACACAGATAAGCTAGCGCGCTAACTTTAAAGGCGCATAACTTAAAAACCATAGCAGTTACTTTAATTTTGTCAACTGATGAAATGTATCAAATATTATGCTTAACATTTTACTAGTTGACAAAATTTATCTAGTTTTTTTGATTTTCGAGTTATGCGCCTTTAAAGTGGAAAAAACCACTCACCTTGGTTTTCGCTATTCCTTTTGGTATAACAGCCACAATCAAAATGTCATTGAGATTTTTATAGAATCTCTTCTTCAAAAACAGTTCTCCAGTATCTGCATCAATGGAAATCGTGTCAGTTCCAATTAAAAAATATCGAATACGGTATCCAGATTCAGCAGTTACACGTCCAAAACTGGCGCCAATTTGATGGACAGAAGACAGGAGCATTAGGACAGATGACGTGGCGAATCGAACGTCTTCTGATTGCTCATCTTTGATCAGTGTCATCATGAACGGCTTCTTTGAAGACGTGGAGACCAGGTCCACGTGGCTGATGATTTCAGACTGCGTGGGGATTAGAAGAGTGTCTTTGTGGATTTGAAGGGTTTTGGGATTTTGAAGGGAGACATTTTGACAGCCACGGGGTATGGATACTGTAGCTGGAGGAGTGATGAGGTGAGCAGCAGATGACGTGCATTCAGATGACGTCGTGGGGGAAGAAGAAGGTTGAGAGTTTGTGGTGACGTGGAGAACTTTGAATTGGGGGTTGGATCTGGAAAAATAATAATTTTAGACTTGGTAGTCTTTTAGCCTTTGTAGCCTTTTTAGAAATTTTTGAATTTTTGAATTTCTGAATTTCCAATTTTTTAGAATCTCACCTCTCCTCATTCGTCTCCAGAATCACGTAGGCATCTGAAGCCGTCCGATTCTCGGATATCTTCAAAATTTGATTTTCGACTGAAAAAATATTCTTGACGTCTTCTGAATCCTCTTCTGGATTCTCCAAAATAATTTTCGCGATTTTCCAATTTTCTGATTCCAAGTTCAACACTTCAGATGACGTTGGAATCTGAAATTTTAAAATTGCGAAAATTAAATTCAAATTCAAATCATACCATTGAAATTTCCAGAATCTCCGGGACCTCAGAATTCCTGTCTGAATTTGAAAATTCAATTTTGAAATTTAGAATTTTTTGGGAATTTTCAGAATTCTCGAAATTCTGAGATGTGAAAACGACGTTTAAATTCTTTACAGAATTTCGTTTGAGATTCTGAACTAGGATAAAATTTCCAGAAGAATCCAAATGAATTCTGGAGTCGTCTGTCCTCCAGAACACTGAATCTGAAGACGTCACATTCAATTTTCCAATTTTCGATCCAATCCTATCATTTTTATGAATCCTCACGACGTCATCAGAATTCAGATGAACTTCCAGTTTTGAAGCATTCACTACAGTAACCAAAAGAAAAGTTTTGGAACTCAAAAAGTTTTCAGAATCCACGTTGACGGCTTCTATGGAGACGTTCATACGGCTTCCAAAGGATTTGGGAAGATTCTGAATCGTCGTCACTTTTCCAGAATCCGAATCCACGTGGAAAGCGTCGTGGTGATTCAGAAGACGATATTGGATTTGTCGATTTTCAGAAGTCACGTCTTCATCGTCAGCATGAACTATGGCAACTGTTTCATTGGATTTTCCCGAGACTTTTGCCGAATAAAAGGAAGACGTGAATTTTGGAGCATTGTCGTTGACGTCTTCTACAATAATCTGTGCTGAGCAATTTGTGATTCTTTGTGAAGATCCAGAATCTTTGGCTTCGTAAAAAATTGTATAGTTTCTCTGCGTCTCCGCATCCAGATTTTTCAGAATCCTCAATTTTCCTGTCGTTGAATCCACGTGGAAGATTCTAGAATTTTCCAGAATCCTATAGCTAACGACTCCATTGATTCCTGGATCTGCATCCGTTGCGTGCAATTTTCCAATAAAATTTCCTGGCTTTTCACTTTCTAAAACGCGAACTTTTGTGTCTGCACAAACTGGAGAATGACGATTGAGGGGTTTGAGAAGGACGGTGACAACAGCGGTTTGAGTGGTGTTTCTGGAAAAATGGGTAGAGACTTTTTGATAACCATTTTGTTTTTTGAGTTATGCGCCTTTAAAAATCACACACCCCTCAAGAGGAAGCGGCAATGGGTGCGCAATCTTTAAAGGCGCATACCTCATGAACCAAGAAAGCTATCAAAAACAGTTTAATTATAAAAATATAGCTCTTGAAATTTCACACATTTTGTTAGTTGACAACATTCAGCTAGCTCTCTTATGTTTTGAGTTATGCGCCTTTAAAGATTATGCACTCTTCAGGAAAAGGCGGCAAGGAGTGTGCAATCTTTAAAGGCGCATATCTCACAAGGGAAGTGTTTTCAGAGGCGCGTTGAGAATTAGATCAAAATTTGTACAAAAGTACTTTCGAACATGCTGAATACGATTTCAGCAATATCTCGGTCATAACCCTAATAGGAACAAAAATATGGGCTCTCAATGTGTTTTCAGTACTAAATTTTGACCCAAAACGTGCATTTTTCGAGCTTTAAAACTCTTTTTCCAGGATTTTTTCAAGCGGGAAATTCTTTTTTGATCATTTCTCTATCATCTGAAACATTTTTTGTACAATTTCAAAAAAAAAATTTTTCGATTTTTTTTTGAAAAAAATTCATCATGGGGTACCCCACACTTTAAAAGTGATTTTTTTGAGAAATTTTTTTGAAAGTGCAAAAAAGTCTTTCAAACATTCAGAAATGATAGAAACATCATTTTCACAATATTTGGCAGCTCGATTTCGTCTGTGAGCCCTGATAATTTAAAAAAACTGATAATTGCAAGAAATTTGAAAAACTGTAACTTCTCAAATATTGCACAAAATTGCACGGAATACACAGAAATATGTAAAGATCATTTGGGTGATCGTCATCGTGTTGCGGATAATTCAAACTATCAGTACTGAAATTTTTAGAAAATTCTCAACGCCCCTCTGAAAACACTTCCCTTGTCAAAAACCATGAAAGCTATCAAGAAGTGATAAACTACAAAATATAGCTCATAAAATTTCACATATTTTGTTATTTGATTTTCTTTAATAGCTAATTTGCTTTCTGAGTTGTGCGCCTTTAAAGATTACGCACCTCTCTAGACAGGACGGAGGAGGCTTTAAGGGGGTGCGCAATATTTAAAGGCGCATAGCTCAAAAACTAGAAAAGCGATCAAAATGTTTAATGTTTCTACAAGACCCACCTATTCTCCAAAATTACTTCCAATCGAACCAAATCTCCAGAAATCGATTTTCCAACAAAAATCGATCCATCCGGAAAGACACCTAACTCTGATTCCAGGTCCCTTGTTGAGTAGATTTGTGCTTTTGGCAGTTTGCCAACTACAGTACCCACTGTCACATTTTGCCACGTGTCAAAGGTATAAGCCCTTTTTAGATGTACCGGTGGATCTGTGCTTCTGATGAGATTTTTCGGAACGGAAGAGGCTTGAAGAATTTTCACGAAGACGTCAGTTTCCAAAATCTGAGTGCTAGGAGGTGGAGGATGGATTCTGATAGGTAGATGGTAGCTAGAGACGTCCGATGGGAGTTCAGAAGACGTGACGATGATTCCTGGAAGATTTTTGAGTTCTTATGACACTGTCCGATAAAAATCGAAAAAAGTTAATAAATTATAAATGCTACAGTTTATACATTGTTAGAAAGCCCTTTTAGTTTACTAAATTTCGCAATAAGAATTAATTTTCTAGCTCTATTTTGAAGCGAGTTACGACGCTATTAATGTTTCTGTGGGCGCGCTCAGAGAGAGGTGGGGAGCTACGGGCGCGACAGCGCCACTCCCATGTTCCGGTGGGCGCGACCATCAGTGGCGTTTTCTGTCGCGCCAGCCGCTCATCACCTCTCTGCGGCCACGCCCTCAAAAACACTAATTTGCCTATAATTCGCTTCAAAATAGAGCTAGAAAATTGATTTTTATTGCAAAATTCAGGAAAATAGAAGGGATTTCTAGTTGTAGCAATTTCAACCTGAATAACTTTGAAAAATTTTCCGTCAAAAGGGTATTTTTTTAACTTACCATTCATCCCATCAATTCTAAAAACATCCGAGCTCTGTTGCAGTTCAAATCTGCACATTTCCGAGCAATTCGTCTCAACATGAGCAACAAAACTTCCAGCTACAGTATCCCTCTCCAACTCGACATGAATCTCTCTGGCCACTTGGATTACAGTAGATTTGACAAATTTTTTGAAGAAGATTTTCAAGCTCCTTCGACAAATTTTCTCCTCCGGACCCTGTCCATCGTTAGCGGCGAATTCCAGAGTGTACTCCTCTTTTTCAGCCAATTCCACATTTTTCAGCGTTAGAATATTGATTGATTGGCGGGAGATCAGAGAGAATATCGATTGATCGTTTCCAGAATCTATCCAGATTTTTGAGCTTGGACCCAGCGGACCATCTGGATCGGTGAGTGAAAGAATAGCTAGCGTTTTGCCATTCACGTCTTCTGGTTGAACGACGATGAAGGGAAAATCCGACGGGTAGAATCTGAAAGTGTAGTTTATTGTAGCTTATATTGTAGCTTGTGCATTGTAGCTTGTGCTATTTTCAGAATTTTATTTGACTCAAAGATTACAAGTTATATATAGCTAGAAAGCCCTTAAAATTTCTTCCTGCGATTTGCAAAAACTTCCAATTCTCTAGCTCAATTTTGAAGCTAGCTATGGGCAAATGAGTGTTTTGAGGGCGCGTTCAGAAAGAGGTGGTGAGCGATGGGCGCGACAGGCAAGGGGCTGCTCCTGTCGCGCTGGCTGTTCACTTACCTTTGGGTGAGCGGCGGGCGCGACAGGAAGCGCTGGTGCCTGTCGCGCCAGCCACTCATCACCTGTCTGTGACCGCGCCCTCAAAAACATTGATTGCGCCATAACTCGCTTCAAAATAAAGCTAGAAAGCTGATTTTTGTTACAAATTTTAGGAAATTTGAAAGGCTTTTTAGTTATATAAATTTCATATTTTTTACTCTCAGTTTTTTTAAAAAGTTGAATTTTGACTTTTCGCAAAACTTTCACCCTTCCTATAATTTTCAAATACCAACCGTATATTAATATTTGGCTCATGCTCATTTCCATATTCCATTTGAACAACTCCATTTGAACAACCACATTTAGCGTTGTCGCCAGCGGTGGAATCCCCGAATCTTTGGCTTCGATGACGAATTCGCAAATTGGTGAACATTTTGTAGAATTCTGCAAAAAGTTAAATTTAGGTCAATTTCTTTTTTTGAAGTTGTCTAAATGGTCAAAAATCTAAAATTTTACTAATTGTTCAGACAAAACCACACTCATGGAAAAGTAAATAGATACTTGAGTTATGGTCAAAAAACCTTTTTTTTGTGTCTGTTTGTTTGCCCGAGTGTCCGGATGTCGGGAAACATTGGAAAATTGAAAGTTTTGACAAAATGGAATTTTCTAGTGATTATTAAAATTTATGAGTTTTGGAAATTCAAAACAATTATATATACCTAGAAAGCTTTTACAATTTCCTAAATTTTCCAACAAAAATCAGTTTTCTCTCTTCATTTTGAAGAGAGATATAACACAATTTATGTTTTTGTAGGCGCGGTCACAAAGAGGTGATGAGCGGCCGGCGCGACAGAAGCGTTACTACCTGTCGCGCCAGCCGCCTACCACCTCTTTCTGAGCGCGCCCTCAAAATACTTAATTTGACTATAACGCGCTTCAAAATTGAGTTAGAAACTTGATTTTTAGTGGAAAATGTAGGAAATTTAAAGGGCTTTTTGGGCCTAAAAATTAAAATAATTCAATGTTCTAAAAATTACCTTGGTCACCAAAAATCGCCCATCTTTCTCTTCTAGAATACCAAAAATTTCTTCTCCTCCTTGAATTCGATACTTTAATATTCCATTGTCTCCAGAATCCGCATCCGTGGCATTCAGAAGGAAAAGTTTGGCGTTTTTATGTCCATTCCATTTTAGATGAATTTGTCTAATTCCGAAATCCGGTGGGTTATCGTTAATATCCAGAATTCTAATGTTCAGGAGACATGAGGCGCTTCTGAAAAAAGAAGTTTAGGAATTCAGAATCCCCTAGATGACGTTGGTTGTCAAGAATCCTGAATCAAGATTCTGAATCAAGAATCCTCAATCCCAATTTAATCCCTATATAAACTTGATTTCCATTCGTTCCCCCAATTCTATTCCACACAAAATGATTGGTCGGTCATAAAAACAAGCCATAAAACTGGGGAAAAAAGAGGGGACACCTGTCCCGGCTACACGGTCATCATTTCTGGAGGCAAAAGGATATGCAACATCGACTTTACTGGTTTTGAGGTCTTTGGCGGGAAAATTAAACAGACATACACCATATGGCAAGCGACCTTGATAGGCGATGATAGGGGAGGGTTTGGAGGCGCAGAGGTTAAAGGCGCATATCTTGAAAACTAGGCGAGCAGGAGGAGAAGGAGGCGGAAAGGGGTACGCAATCTTTAAAGGCGCATATTCCCAATACAAAGTTTGCTATTAGAAAATGATAATTACAAAAACGTAGAACATAAAATGTTAACCATTTTGTTGAGTTACAACTTTTTGCTAGCTATAATAGTTTTTGAACTATGCGCCTTTAAAGATTACGTACCTTTTAATAGGATGAAGCAGCAAAGGGGTGTACAGTCTTTAAAGGCGCATATTTCAAAAACTAAGCAAGCTGTTTAAAAATTAATCATTGCAAAAATGTAAAAATTTAAATTTTACACATTTTGCCAATTAATAGCTTTTTGCTAGCTATTATGGGTTTTTAGCTATGCGCCTTTAAAGTTGGCACACCTCTTGCCGTCTTCCAAGCGTCCGCCAGGCGCGCAACTATTGAACGCTCATATCTCAAAAACCAAGTTAGCTAAAGATAAATAATTAATTACAAAATGTAGCTTAGGAAATTTCACACATTTTGTTAATTGATAACTTTTTGATAACTAATTTACTTTTTGAGTTATGCGCCTTTAAAGATCACACTCCCCTTACAAGGAGGATGCTTCCCGTTTTTTTGTGCGCGCTAACTTTAAAGGCGCATAACTTCCTTCTAACTTTACCGATTAGGAATGAACTAATTTCCAAGTATAGAACATTTCAAGCTCTATACACTCCATTTTACAGAACTATTCTAGTTTTTCTAATAATTTTTGAGCTAAACTCACAACTCCGGTACCCCTTCATCACTTGCTGTCAATCGCATTGAATAAAAATCCCTCATCTCTCGATCCAACGTTCCCACCACTTCCAAATAAACAAAACCATCGGATTGAAGCAATCGAAACAACGGTGGCGTCGGGGTGTCTCCATCTACAGTAATTTCATCCAACTCGTACTTTCCAATCGACCCATTCTTTCCTTGATCCGGATCGGTGGCGCCGGAAATCGGCACACGCCAACCGATTGGTGCGGTTTCCGGAATTTCGACGTTTTGGATCTCGAGTGGAAACTTTGGTGGATTATCGTTGATGTCGAGGATGTCGATGAGAACGTGGATTATGGATGGAGGAGATGAGACAATGAGCATGTCGATCGCATTTTCAGATTCACGGTCGAGTGCGGAGGATACGGAGAACTGCAATATATGGAGAATGGTAGAAGCTAGCCAGAAGATGATGACTGATAAACTGTAGATCATAAAATTTTACACATTTTGTTAGTGAGCAATTTTTTGATTGCTATATTGCTTTTCGAGTTATGCGCCTTTAAAGATAGCGTGCGCAAAAACAAAGATGTTTGGACTTCTCAAAATTAAAGGCGCATAACTCAAAAACTGGGAAAGCTACTAAAAATTACTAATTAACAAAATGTATAAAATGTTATAAGCTACATTTTTGTAGTAAAAGTTTGATAGCTATCATGGTTTTTGAGATATCCTCCTGGGAGGTGTGCAATTTTTAAAGGCGCACTCAAAAACCAACTAACAAAAAAAAACTAACTCAAAAACCAACAACTCTATCAAAAAGTTGTTAACTACTAAAATGTACAAAATTTCAAGTTCTATAACATTATATTAGCTTTCTTACCTCAAGTGTCTCCTCGTCAAACTTAATTTTTGAATTCCCGCGCGACAGTCGATAGCTATAACCATTTTCCGGTGTAAGGTGTCCAATGATTGTATCGATTGGAGCATCTGAAAACATCCAAGATTTTGAAAAAGTTCAATTTCCCCTAAGTATCCCTAATTATCCACTTTCCATCTAAAAATTTCACACCTCATCGACCGCGGCAAAAATAATTTTGCCTTTTTTTTTGCCATCCTTTTTTAATTACCTTCTTCTGGGCCAAAATAACTGGTCATATAAAGTGGGTTTCATGTTTTTTTCGGTGTATATGCTAATATTATAATTTACCTTCCGCAATCGAAAACTTGACTGTTTCTTCGGAAAATTGGCGCGAAAATTTGAATATTAGAGTGAGAAGAAAAACAAGAAATAGGTGGTGTCGTATTAGCATCTAGTCGGCATTGATCTGGAAAGAGAAAAGTTTAAAGGCACATAACAGAAAATTGAAAATTGAGAAAATGTGTGAAATTTTATGAGCTACATTTTTGTAATTAACACATTTTAATAGTAATTTTAGTTTTCGAGATATGTGCCTTTAAAGATTGCGTACCCCTTTGCCGCCCTCATGATAGTCAGGAGGAGGCGGCAAAGGGTGCGTAATCTTTAAAGGCGCATAGCTCAAAAACTAAATTAGCTAGCTAAACGTTGTTAGATAAAAAAATGTGTAAAATTTTATAGGCTATATTTTTGTAGTTAATTATTTTTAGCTAGCTACTATGGTTTTTAATACATGCGCTTTTAAAGTTAGCACCCTTCTGTAGCCGTCTATCAGAAGGAGGCAGCCGCAAAAGAGTGTGCAATCTTTAAAGTCGCATAACTCAAAAACTAAATTAGCTAGCTAAAAGCTGTCAATTAACAAAATGTGTAAAATTTTACAGGCTACATTTTTGTAGTGAACAAATTTTAGCTAGCTTAAATGGTTAGTGAGATATGTGTTTTTTAAGAAAAGGTAATTTCAAGTAAGATCATATTCCCTCAAGAAAAGGAAAAAAGAGAAAAGAAGAAGAAGAAGGAGGAGAAGAAAAAAGGATTGCATAATTTCGAAGAGAGAGAATCCGAATCGGAATCGAAGTGTTTGTTCGGGAAAAATGGAGGGAGGAGGAAAGGAGAAGAAGAGGAAATTAGATGGTATCATGGTTATTAAGTGGAACATTTGAAAAAGAAGAAGGGGAAGATGACCCGCTGATTTGAGGAAGAAATATTGAATAAGAGGTGAATATGAAAATAATTTAGAGAAATTGAAAGTGAGAGATCCGGTTGGGAAGATATTGAATATTTAAGAAATAATAGGTAAATCTAGGAAATTTTCGAAATACCGTACTTTGAACCCATATATCTCATTTTCTGTAAAAGATATCAAAAAGTAGTCAACTAACAAAATGTTTATCATAAAATCAGCAACATTTTGTTAATTGATTAATTTTTGATATCTCTTGCAAGAAATGAGAAAAATGAAATCAAAGAAAAATGCGCTCCATAGACAAGTTGAGAGGGGGCGTAGTTCATAGCTTCTACTTTAAGCTCTCATATCTAATTTCTCAACAAAGATATCAAAAAGTGATCAACTAACAAAATATTGTTGGTACTATGATAAACATTTTATCAGTTAATTACTTTTTGATATCTTTTACAGAAACTGAGATATAAGGGCTCAAAGATAGCGTCGGTCTAGAGTGGAATACTCCCACAAAACGCAATTTTTTCAAAAATAAATCCTATCAACAGTACCCCTTATCACCTATTCTCTAACCCATAACACTATGATAGGGGGTCCTCAGAGCAAACATGGCTCAAATCACTAAATCATGCGTCGGGGTACCTGGTACCTGTTCAAATAAACAGGTCCCAAGAATAAGAACAAGAAGAAGAGGCAAAAGGAAAATACATACAAATAGAATGAATCTATCCATTGGAAACAAATAAAAAAGTGGTTGTTGTAGATGGCTGGGATGACAGGTAATGGATTGGCGGAAAAAAAAGAAGAAGAGGAAAAAGAAAATTAGCATATCAAAAGGACATATTGGCGGAAACCAAGAAGGGATTTGTATTGGCTGTGAGGTGTGAAGTACACAGGCCTGTGTTCCGAAAGACAATTGGCACTGTTTTGGAGGACAATCTCGAAAATTGGATATATGAGAGGAACAGGAAGAGGAAGAGGAACAGAAGGATTTGAAATTGGGGAGGTCAAAAGCGACATCGGGACAAACAGACACATAACTCAGTTTGAAATTGGAAACTTTGTTCAATCAAAAAAGGACCATGTAGAGCTGAAAAAGAGCTACAAAACAGTATTAAATTTGACTACATTTGACTGCCAACAGTTTGCACCAGACCCCAGGAAACAGTGAGGCCTAAAATCAGATCTTGGGTGGCGCTTATTATGACTGCTGCATAACTTGTGTCAAGATTAAAATTTTTGTTTGAATTTCAAAAAGTGTTGTAGAGCTTAAGAAGATCTACAAAATGATAATACATTCAACTGTATTTGATTGCCAAAGATTTGCGCTAGAGGATGGAAAACAGAGAAGCCACAAATCGGAGCGCTGGGGTGCCGCCTACTAAGGGGTGACGCATACTAAGGTGCATAACTCGGTTTAAAATGAGAACTTTGATTTGAGTGATAAAGGGTCTTGTAGAGCTTAAGAAGAGGTACAAAATGATAATAAACTCGACTATATTAAATTGCCAAGTTTCGCACCAGAAGCTGTGAAATGGAGGGAGTCGCAAAGTCGACATTGATGTCGCTTACTATGGCGCATAACTCGGCGCATAACTCTGTTCAATGTCAGAATTTTTGTTTGAGCAAAAAAAACTAAATAGGACCCTGTAGAACTGAAAAAGAGCTACAAAATGATAATAAGTTTGACTATATATGACGGACAGACTTATGCACCAGAGGCTTCGAAACATCTGTCGGCCCTGGTGGCGCCTACTATGGATCACAGGTTAGTGCATAACTCGGTTCAAAATTGGAATTTAAATTTGAATGAAAAAGAACCTTGCAGAACTTAAAAAGATCTACAAAACAATAACAAATTCGACTATATTCTATTGTCAAAGCTTTGCACCAGAGGCTTGGAAATCGGAGGTCGCAAAATCTGAAGACTAGGTGTAATCTACTAGAGCGCACAACTCGGCGCCTAACTTGACTCAAAGTGTAAATTTTTGTGTGAATTAAAAAGAACCTAGTCGAACTTTGAAAAATCTACAAAATCGTATAAAACTCACCTAGTTTGAACGACAGAGTTTTACACCAGATGCTGAGAAACAAAGGGGCCTGCAAAATCGGGATAGCGCTCGTTATGGATCGAAAACTCGGTATTCGAATATATCCGAATTTAACATCATTTTAAAGATTTATTCTAGTTCTACAATTTTCTATTTGATTTGCGCAAAAATACCAATTTTGAACCGAGTTATGCTCCATTTTACGAACTTCTATGAGTCACTTCCACCCCTGTTAGCGCGCGGTAAGTTTAAAGGCGCATAACTCAAAAACCATGAAAGTTATCTTAATTTTGTTAACTAGCCAAACGTGTAACATTTTATGAGCTACATTTTGATAGTCGACAACTTTTTGATATCTTTTCCAAAAAACGCGAAAGCTAAGTATGGTAGCCTGAAACATCATTGAGCACTTATTCCCATCTGCTAGGTATATTCTACTAGATATATATTATACGCCAATTAAACCACCCAAAAAAAAAAAGATTGAAACCTATGTTCATAACCAGGTGTCACACTAATGCTACACTATATACGGAATATGGGGTTGGAAGGTCGAATCCGGAAGCCCTCTTGGATAAGTGGGGTACCACCTATCCATCAATCCAACCCAATCCAAGTATCTTTATTCGGTTGGTGTACATGACACTTCCGATACAGTACTACTCGTATTTACGTATGTTCTGTATTGTTATACGCTCATTTACACACACCTTTTGCTGTGTAAAAAAGAACGGGAAGGAACACAGAACAGGCCACTTGAAGAGCGAAGGGTGAAGGGTGGTAATTAGTACGGTTCGAGTGTCGAGAGAGGGAAGTAGAGGTGTTAATTAGAGAGAAAGAAATGATTTTATTTATGGGAGTTACCATATTTTGAAATACCTAACCGTTAGGTCAGCTTCACCTAGAGAACTCCAAAGCCAGGGGAAGGAGTTTCCTAGCTTGAGCCAATTTATCTCGGCTCCAGTGTAAGATACCAAAAAGTGGTTAACTAACATAATAGTGCTAATATTATGCTAAGAATTTTATTAGTCAATAACTTTTTGATATCTTCTACAGGAAATTAGCTGAATGAGCTCAAACTTTGTTTCTAAAGCTCTTAGAACGGGATGAGACGAAGATTATGCACATTTGGAAGCGTTATAACTCTGAAACCAAAAAACTATTGAAACATTTTTAACTAACAAGATGATGATACTTTTAAGGGCTTTGTCTTCATAAAAACACCATTTTATGCGCCTTTAAAGTTAGTTTCAGAGACGCTTTCTGTGGCGCGCCAACTTCAAGAACTCAAAAACTATAAAAGTTATCAAAAAATAGCCAACTAATAAAATGTTGGGCATAAAATTTTATAGATTTCAGTAGTTATAAAAATTTGAAAAGCTTTTATGGTTTCTGAGTTATGCGCCTTTAAAGTTAGCCACGCTTACTGTGTCGCGCAAATTTCAAATGGGCGTATCTCAAAAACGGTTGAAGTGATCAAAACTTTGCTAACTACGAAAATGCTAAGCTTAAAAATTTATGCAGTTTATTAGTTAACAAAATTTAAGTAGTTCTCATGGTTTTAGAGTTATGCGCCTTTAAAGTTTGCACGCGCTGCGGAGTGGAAGAGACGCATGTTTGTGCTGCGCTAACTTTTAAGGCACATAACTCAAAATGGAAAAAAGCAATTAAAAAATTGTTAATTACAAAAATGTTAGGCATAACATTTTATGCAACTTAATAGTTAGCACAGTGTAGATATCCTTTATGTTTTTTGAGTTATGCGCCTTTAAAGTTAGCCGAGTTATTTGTGGCGCGCTAACTTTAGAAAGCATTATCTCAAAAACGGTTGGGTTTATCAAAACATTGCTAACTACAAAAATGCTAAGCATAAAAATTCATACATTGTATTAGTTAATAACATTTAAGTAGTTTTCATGGTTTTAGAGTTATGCGCCTTTAAAGATTACACACCTTTCAGGAGGAGGCGGCGAGGGCCGCACAATCTTTAAAGGCGCATATATATAAAACGGTTAAATTTATCAAAAAGTAGTTAATTACAAGAATGTTAAACAAAGAATTTTATACATTTTGCTAGTTAGCAAAATTAAAGTGGCTTGTATAGTTACTGAGTTATGCGCCTTTAAACTTAAAGCGCGCATGAAAAAAGGTGCGGGAAGAGCCGAGCTTATCTCAAGAACAGAAAAAACTAGGAAGATTTTGCAAATCACGAAAACGTTAAGAAAACAAAAGAGAAAAAAAAACATAGAAGAAAATGGAGCCAAAACTGAGCCATATGTCACCATAGCCCAATTACTGACCTCTTTTGCTTTCTTTCGACCCACACCGGTAAGCACAATAATTGTTCTCCCTGTCCCGAAAACGAGCTCATTTTCTCATCCGAAAAGGGGGGAGGTACGTACACAAGCCAGACCATTTTATGGCCTTGATTGGTTATTAGGGCATATTCCATTTGGTCTGTTTCTGTGTCTGTGGAATGGTGGATACGCGCGAACGAACACACAAAAAGACAGGTGGCTAGGAGGGGGCAGGAAGAGGAGGTGGGGGTCCGTATGGCCTCGAGATTGTTAATTGTTTCACACAAACTTTTTTTTTATTTCTTATACACGACGCGCGGTACGTTTTGTAGTTAGAGACAATACGGGAGAAGGTGTCAAAGGGGCGGGGATTTAAGGAATTCAGAAATTGGGGGGACTTTGAGCGTAGAGCTAAAATGCTCCAACTTTAAAGACGCATAACTCAAAAAACAAAATTAGTTACCAAAAAGTTATCAATTAAGAAAATGTATAAAATTGTATGATAACTAACACGCTTTTTGAGATATGCGCCTTTAAAGATTACACACCTCTCAGGAAGAGACGACAAGGTGTGCGGGAACTTTAAAGGCGCATAACTGTTTTTTTTTGAGAACCTTAAAAGTTCGGAAGGGTTTAAAAGGACAGGAGTAAAAAGTTTTGTGGATTTACAGTATAAATAAGCCTCATGGGGAAATGTACTTCGAGGTGCTACCGGCTGAGCTACGCTATTGCAGCAGATAAGAAACACCGCGCTTCGAGCTTAATTATCTCAGTTCCTATAATTTTGCTCGTGAGTTATGCGCCTTTAAAAATCGTGCATCCTTTGCCGCTTCCTTCAGAGGGCAGCAAGGGGTACGCAATCTTTAAAGGCGCATAGCTCAAAAAGCAAATTAGCTAACAAAAAATTGATCACTAACAAAATGTGTAAAATTTCAGGATCTACATTTTTGTAGATAGCAATTTTTCTGATAACTAACTTGCGTTTTGAGATATGCGCCTTTAAAGAAAGCCAGCTAGAAAAACAACGTTCAAAAGTCTAAAAAATACGGCTAAAATCCAAGGAAAAAAATTGGCAGATGTATATCAAGAGGATACAGAAAACCACCCATTCATTATTCACAACATACGTAAACATTAGAAAATGGGGGTCATTTTTTGTGCCACCTCGTGTGTCAATTCCTAAGATAGGAGGGGACAGGTGTTCCTCTCCCCAGGAGAGAAAAGAAAACGAATATGGCCACCTGCCCCATAGTCAGTCATTTTTGGAATGTTTTCTTTAGATACTCTAGATTCACGGGGAGTTGCGGACATCTGGACGTATGGAAATCTGGATGGAGTTTCTAGTGACTTGTAGCAGAAGGGTCCCCTCACTTTGAGCCAATTTATCTAGGTTAATGTTTAAGATAACAAAAAATTGCCAACTAACAAAATGTGTAAAACTTCACGAACTACATTTTAGTAGTCGACAACTTTTTGATAACTATTTCAGTTTTTGAGATGTGCGTCTTTAAAATATGCGCACTCCTTGCCGCCCTTCTGATAGACAGGATGACAAGGCATGGGTGCGCTATCTTTAAAGACACATAACTCGCGAACTAAATTAGCTATCAAAAAACTGTCAACTAACTAAATGTTTGTGATATTATGATAAACATTTTATCGGTCGACCGTTTTTTGAAATCTTCGACAGGAAACGAGATAATTAGGGTCAAAGAGAGGACCTTTTTGAGGAATTTTAAAGAATTCAATACCAAAAAAAAAAATTTAAATTCTCCACCGAAAAATCTACGTGATTTGATATATTGACCTCGGAGGATTACTATAAAGAGAGAGGAAAGTCGGGATTCTTGGATCCTTGAGATCCTTGGATCCTTATGATCCTTGGATCTTTGGATCCTTCGGATCCTTGGGTCCTTGGGTCCTTGGTTCCTTAGAATCCTTGGATCTTTGGGATCCTTGGAATCTTTGGGATCTTTGGGATCCTTAGGATCCTTGGATCTTTAGGATCCTTGGATCCTCGGGATTCTAGGGATCCTTGGGATCCACGGGATCCTCGGGATCCTCGGGATCCTCGGGATCCTCGGGATCCTCGGGATCCTCGGGATCCTAGGGATCCTTGGATCCTCGGATCTTTGGATACTTGGATCATTGGGATCCTTGGGATCCTTGAGATCCCTGGGATCCTCGGGAACCTTGGGATCCTTGGGATCCTTGAGATCCATGGGATCCTCGGGAACCTTGGGATCCTTGGGTCTTTTCAATTTCTGGGTCATGACCTAGATTTCAATTTCTAGGTCATGACCTAGATTCCAATTTCTGGGGCATGACCTAGATTCCAATTTTTGGGTCATGACCTAGATTATAATTTCTGTAAATTTATTGGTATATAATGGAATTTTACTTAAATAATCGTGCACAGGAGGACAAAAATAGTACTGAAAAATGAGAAAATTGAGAATCCAGATGATGTAGTTGTTGGTGGATTGGTGGGTGTGGAGCTAGGGGGAAGGGTAGAAGCCGTGGACGATCCTGAAGACGTCGTGTTCGTAGGAGAGTTAGATGTGGAGGAGTGGGATTCTGGAGATTGGGATGAGGAGCCGGCGATTGGAGCAATAGAGGATGTCTGAATAGCAGGAGCCACTGATGACGTGGCGACTGGAGCAACAGACGATGTTCGGACCGCTGGAGCAGCAGATGACGTGGCCATATGGGCTTCCGAGGAAGTCGGAACAGCTGGAACAGCTGATGACGTGGCAATTGGAACAGTGACAGTGGTTTTGACATTCGGAGCCGTTGATGACTTTAGAGCGTCAGTTTGTCCCCATGGATATTCTCCAATTCTGTCTTTGCACTCGACGTTTGGAATCGAAAGAGTTGGAAGAGGAGAGATGGTTGGGTTGGTGTTGCAGTTTACGTCAACCCAGCATTTCAGGATTTGAACGATCTGGAAATTTGAATTTTTAAGAATTAAATTATACCTCTTGAAATTCACCACATTTTTTTAAATTTACATAATTTGAGAAGCTCTAATGGCTCTTGAGATATAAGCCTCCAACCTCTTACCTGATATCTAGCATTAACCACTGTATTCGGATCACAAGTATTTGGTTGTCTCAAATCTAAATGATGTGCAGAACCGGGAATTTCCATGACATAGATTCCACGGGCAGTATTGGTTTGGTCGACTTTGTAACCGCCTCCAGACCATGGGTCAAGGTGTCCTTGCCTGCAAAATTTAGAGTCTACAGCAATCTCGCCCCATCGCACTAGGCTTACGTTAAGATTAGGTTACTGGATCCACTCAAGTCATATCCGTAGAGCGTCTTTACTGCATCAATATTCCAGTTGGCTGTTGTCCACTTCATACTTCCGAAAATCGAAACACATCCCTGCTTCAGCGTATCATAAATATTATCTCCACATTCAGACCAGAAGACGTCATTAGCTCCTCCAGATGCACACATCGCCATTATGATTTCCGAGCATTCTTGCCATGGCCATCCGAGAGCATCATCCCCAAGTCCTCCGGTTCCTTGATCTCCACAAATATTAAAATCAATGCACCAGGTGAAATTGGCATTTTGGTTATAATTGTAATAAACATTTGCTGCATTGGCCACTGCTGTCACCAAGTCCTGATCAGAGAATGATTCTCCAGTGGCGTTCATATATCCGCATGCTACAGTAACCGGCCAACCTGGAAGAGGCTCCAAGAACCCGGTTGGGTATGGATAGTCAACCATTGCCATGTATTCGATGGCTTCACGCATGTAGGCGTTGAGATTCCATCCATCAGTTTGATTGTTGATTGGAGTACGTGGATCTAGCTTGAAGACTGGGTTGTTGTTGAGCCACGCACGACCAGAATCTGGAAAAGGTTGGCTACAGTAAGACTTCAAAAACCTAGGACGCTGTGGACCGCTGAGATCGTTCTCTTGAGCTTAAATTTTGAGAATCTGTGGACCCCTGAGCAGAAGCTCTTGCTCAACCCAAGAGTCCAATTTCTACAGTAATCTAGAACCCACCAGTAGAGGAAAGATTGAGAACTGCATTCCAAGCATTTGCCAGAATAAACCTATTGCATCCATTCTCAACATAAGTTCTTGATGTGATATTATCGAATGCTCCTGGATCCACACCTCCATCGTGCATGTAAATCAGAGGTGCCGAACCAGCCCAAGCTCTGAAATTTAAATTTTTTTTAGTTTGGATACTGTAGATCATAAAATCCCTCTAGCTAATAAAGATGTTGAGATACAAAGCTTAGAAACTAGCTTAAAACTAAACCCTTGGTTCTGATTCATAGTCCTTTTGGTGTCTGTTTAAAGGCGCATAACTCGAAAACCAAAAGATTACTAAAAATTTGTTATCAGTGATTGTTAATGCCCATCGTCATTTTGTGTAAAAAACTACATTTTTTTACTTGTAACTCAATGATTCATCACCATACGCTTATCAGGGAAATTAATACGCTTATCAGGGAATCATCGTTAATGGCTGGATGATCACTGATAAAGACTTTTTACGTGATTTTCATCACGGGAGAAGTAGCTAAAACTAGAAGAAGTTTCTAGAAGGTGTTTTCAGCCAAAAAGTTACTTACCCCTTGACAATATGTGGATACTTTTGCCTAAACCAAGCGGACAGCATTCCACCGTAAGATCCACCGAAAGAAATGACTTGTGAATCCCTATGGAACGTCTTCCCGAATTGATTATTGTCTCTCTTCAACTCAGTCAAAAGTTCTGCATAATCAGCCAGAGCCTGTTCACTAGTCAAGTATCCAACATTGGCTAGATTAGCATAAGATTGATTTCCGAATGGCTGAGTGGCTCCGTAGAATCTGTGCTCGGCGAAAATGATGGAAGCATTGAACATTGGTGCCAGGTCAAACATCATTCCAGTCGCAACTTCGAATGTCGACACTGCTCCCTCGTTTCCAGTGTAGAAGAAGATGGGACCGCCCGGTTGGTAGTAGGTGTTGTTCCACATTATTCTGCAAGAATAGAAATTTCATGATTGTCTGGATTCCTGCGGTAGATGGCAAAAAGTTGTTAACTAACGAAATTTGTAAAATTTCTAGAGCTAAATTTTTTTAATTTACAATTTTTTTTTCTAGCTTGGTTTTTGAAATAAGCGCCTTAAAGGTGACACACTTTGTAGCCCTCCTGAGGAGGAGACGGCAAAGGGTGCGCAATCTTCAAAGGCGCATAACTCGCGAACGAAATTAGTTATCTAAAAGCAATTAACTAACAAAATGTAGCTCTTAAAATTTCACACATTTTGGTAGTCAACTATTTTTTGATGGCTTTTTTGGTTCTTGAGATATGGCTGAAAACTTCAAAAAAGCACACCTTGGATTGCACTTTCTCTGCGTCTCTAAGGGGTATGCTATCTTGAAGCACTCATACCTCGAGAACCATCAAATTTATCAAAAAGTTGGTAACTAACAAAATGTGTAGAATGTTAAGAGCTACATTTTGATGATTAGCAAGCTTTTTATAACTAACTTACTTTTGAAGATATGCGCATTTGAAGATTGCACACTCCTTGCCGCCCTTCTGTCAGGAGGAAGCGGTAAGGGGTGCGCAATCTTTAAAGGCGCATAACTCGCTAACAAAAGTAGTTATCAAAAAATTGTCAACTGACAAAATGTGTAAAATTTTAAAAGCTACATTTTGCTTGTTTCTACATTTTGATAGCTAGTTATCTTTTAGAGATATGAGCGTTCAAAGATTGCGCACCCCTTGCCGCCCTCTTTGTAGTCAAGGGGCTCGCAGTGTTTAAAGGCGCATAACTCGAGAACAAAAATAGTTATCAAAGAATACTTAAAAGAGGCCAGACATTAAAAAAAAGTTTATTCTGATATTTGGCCTAGAGGACCCCCATAAGGAGTTAAACTCATGACAGACAGCTCAGGGGTACAGCGTCGCTACCGGCTGAGCTACGGGGGCGCGAAGACGCCTAACGACCGATGGCCTACATAAACGCGGCGCGATTTTGCCCCCCAAACTGTCCCCCGAAATTTTTGCTGTCTGGCCTCCTTTAACTAACAAAATGTGTACTATTTTAAGAGCTACATTTTTGTAGTTAGCAACTTTTTGATATCTCTCACAGAAATTGCAATAACTAACCTCAAATCAAAAGTTCTGGTGTCTCCCCATGTGAAATGGTCCAATCGCATGCCTTTGTACCAGCGCACTTCAATATTTTCGGGTATGAAGTCATAGTTTTTGTAGAATTTCTTAAAATATTTCAAGATTTTCAGATTTTTCAGATTTTCAGACACCTACCTGAAACAAACGGCTTCTTCTACTAGACTCTACTGCAGAAACTGCAAAAAGTGCTAAAAATAGGACTGCAAAAATTTTTTGCATATTTCAAGATGAGCACAAACAAAGAGTTGGGTCTTTTTAAAGCAAAAAAAGGGATGAGAAGTACTTAAAAGTGACGAAAAGGACGTATTATACTAGAAAGACTCTTTTTTGAGGTGATAAGAAAATTCAAGAACATCCGACGACAAATTATTTCCAAAGATTAGGAAAAGTTTCGAAATTGGTAAGAAAAACTGAAAAAAAATTCAAAAAATCAAAAATTCAAAAATTCAAAAATTCAAAAATTCAAAAATTCAAAAATTCAAAAATTCAAAAAATCAAAAATTCAAATATTCAAAAATTCTAAAATTCTAAAATTCTAAAAATTCAAAAATTCAAAAATTCAAAAATTCAAAAACTCAAAAATTCAAAAATTCAAAAATTCAAAAATTCAAAAATTCAAAAATTCAAAAATTCAAAAATTCAAAAATTCAAAAATTCAAAAATTCAAAAATTCAAAAATTCAAAAATCAAGATCCAATGTTTTCACATCCATCATTTTCCTTTTGAAATGTTATTATTCTCAAACTTTACTGTCCCTTTTGTTTGCAGAAACATCAAAACAGCCGCCAAGTATACTCTGCGTCTCCAAATCTCTCCTTTATGTCCCCGACCAGAATGTTTTCGTCATTTCTCATATATTTCTTCTAGGCTACCAACTGATTTCGGAAGCCTCTATCGATTTTTAATGATTTTTCTCAAAATTATATTTTTCCACTGAAAATGAGCCTGATTGAATTCGAAAAAGGTAATTTCCAAATTTATGAAAAATCAAATATTCCAAAAAATTTCGAAAAATCCATAGTCATTTTTGGTGTCCTACCGAACTACTTCAAAATTTTTCGATTTTTTCTTTTAAATTTCAGAATATACTAAACAAATCCAGAGCTTCAATTTTGTAGTTGACAACTTTTTTGAAAAATCAATACCTAAAGAGATAATGACGCAGACAGTTAGAGTGTCTCCCATCCTAACCATCAACGCGCTTCTAGGATGGCTAGCTTGGCTCCTAGTAAAGCTAAAAAAGTGATTTTTAGCGTCAAACCTCTAATTTCAAAATTTTAAACATTTTCCAAATATTTTCCAACGAAAATAACCTTAATAGCTTTACAATAATCCAAGATATGACGCTAGTTTAGGTCTCCGAGACAGTTAAACTGTCTCAATCACTTCAGCAAGTAATTTTACAAAAAAGTTGACAACTACAAAAATGAATAGGAAAATAAATTTTACCCATTTTATTAGTTAACAATTTTTTGATAGCTAATTTTGTTCGCGAGTTATGCGCCTTTAAAAATCGTGCATCCTTTGCCGCTTCCTTCAGAGGGCAGCAAGGGGTACGCAATCTTAAAAGACACATATCTCAAAAAGAAAGTTAGCTATTAAAAAGTTGTAAATTACAAAAAAGTAGGAAATTAAATTTTACACAATTTGTTAGTTGACAACTTTTTGATTACTAAATTAGTTTTTGAGTTATGCATCTTTAAAGATCGTCTGAGGACGGCAAGAGGGCCGCTATCGTTAAATGTGCATAACTCCAAAATCAAACTAGCTATCAAAAAGTTATTAACGACTAAAATGTAGCTCTTAAAATGTTGAAAGTTTTGTTAGTTGACTATTTTTAGATAACTTTGATGGATACTGAGATAATTAGAGTTAAAGTTAAGATAGCGACGGAGGCAGTTCGACTGTAGCAGTGAAGGGCCAGCAACAGCGATTACGATCCGGAAGAGCTGGAAAAAGTTTGAAGAGGATTACCACAATGGGCGTCTTGATAGATACGTTCTATCAGACCTCAATGCCGCGGTTAAAGGTCTCGAGGTTCGACCAATTCATCTCGATAACGCAAAAGCTAACCGAACAGTGATCATCGACGGAATTTGCAAGGAATCCGCAAAAACGTAAGTAGATTTTGAAATATTTCTGTTTAATAAATTCGTTTTCAGCGCTTAGTTTGGTTTTGGAAAAGGAAGATGCACGGACATCACAATATCAAACTGAAGTACCCAGAAGGTGGATATCCTTCGAGTCTTCAACGATCCGAAGTCCAACACAATTTTCCCTATTCGCTTTCTTTTTTCTTTATCCTTTACTTTTTATTTCATGTAAACTATGTTACTTCTTTAAAATTTGCTATAAAGATTCAATTTCTTAAATTTGAAAAGCCAAAAAAGTTCTAGAAATTCTAGTGTCTTTCAACTACTGAAAATTCAAAAAATACATAAATTTGCAAAAAAAAATTCCACAACCTCTGAAATTTTGAAAATTCTATAAACAATTCCAAATTTCTAAAATGTTCAAAAATCCAAGAAGGTTTCAAAAATGTTCCGAAAAAGTTTCAAGAATTTAAAAAATCGTTTTAAAAATCATTAAATTCAAAAATCCAAAAATCCGAAAGGAATAAAAATCGAAAATCCAAAAATAATTCAAAAAAAATTTTTTTTTTTCAAATTCCTCATTTTCTATTAAACAGCCTCTGTCCCTTTTGTTTGCAGACATGAAAAAACCGCCGCCTACTCTGAGTCTCCGATCTCTACAACTTTTTGTAGTTGTCAACATTTTGGTAAAATCACTTGCCTAAGAGATAGAGATGCGGACAAAAGTATACTTAAACTTCAAAAAGCCATATCTTGGCTGTCTTGGCTATAGAGCTATAAAGAGGTTTTCATTGGGAAATGTTTTGAAAATAGTCAAAATCTAGCTTTTGGGCCGAAAATCACTTTTCTAGTTTTTCTAGGAGCCAAGCTAGCCTTCCTAGAAGCTCCTTGCTGGCCAGACAGCGAGACACTCTGACTGTCTGCGTCTCAATCTCTTCAGGTATTGATTATCCTGAAAAGTTGTCAATTACAAAATTGAAGCTCTATTTTTGTTTAGTATATTCTGAAAATTTCAGAAAAATTGGAATATGGAATGTGATAATTTTCGTGGGGGTTCAAAGTTTATTGGTTTGGTTTGGCGCTGCTCGGTTCCTGTTCTTTTACCGCTGCTCTTCAAATTTTCAATTCTTATCAACCAACCTCAAAAAAAAGATTCGTCTGTTTAGTATTGTCTCTTTGTGTCTCTTTTGCCACTATTTCAATTCTTCTTCTTATCAGTTAATTTTTCTCCAAACCTAATTCACTTTTCGTGCTCTTCTCCGCAAACATGCGGCGGGTTTTTACTGTCTTAGTTTTGGCACTTTTTGCGTTTTCAGCCGTAGAGTCTAGTAGAAGAAGCCGTTTGTTCCAGGTAAAAGCCTTCATGGATACCAAAATCAAAGGAATCAGAAATTTTTAGAAATTCTACAAAAAACCAGTCAACTATGATGCAGAAATCATCCCAAAAAATATCGAGGTGGTCTGGTACAAAAACATGCGGTTGGATCATTTCACATGGGGAGACACCAGGACTTTTGATATGAGGTTAGTGTTAACTAACAAAATGTAGCTCTTAAAATTCCACTCATTTCGTTAGTTAGTTATTTTATGATAGTTAGCTTACTTTAGGAGATATGCGCCTTTAAATATCTTTAAAGACGCATATCTCTAAAAGTAAATTAGCTAACAAAATTTTGTCAACTAATAACATGTATCTTTTAAAAAAATACACATTTTGTTAGTTAACAATTTTTTGATAGCTAAATTTGTTCGCGATTTATGCGCCTTTGAAGAGTACGCGCCTTCAAGTGAGAGCGACAATGGGTGCGCGGTCTTTAAAGGCGCATATCTCCAGAAGTCCTAGACCAGAACCAAGCTTGATATCAAGCATTTGTAAACTGAAAACATGTAGCCCTTAAAATTTCCCAAATTTTGTTAGTTGACAGATTTTAAATAGCTAATCTTGTTTGCGAGTTATGCGCCTTTAAAGATCGCTCACCTCTTGCCGCTTTCTCTTGGAGGGCTGCAAGAGGCGCGCGCAATCTTTAAAGCCTCTTATCTCCAAAAGTTAGCTAGCTATTGTAAATTTGTAAACTAAAAATCTGAAGATCTTGAAATTTTACAAACTTTGTTAGTTGATATATTTTTCCTAGTTAATAGGCTTATCGAGTTCTGCGTCTATATCGTGCCACTTCCTCCCTCCTGATGAGTGCGTAGTCTTTAAAAGCGCATATCTCCAAAACTAAGCTAGCTATGAAAAAGTTGTGAACTACAAAAATATGTAGAATTTAAAGAGCTACATTTTGTTAGTTGACCACTTTTTGCTAGGGATCCAGATAATCATGCAATTTCTATTCTTGCAGAATAATGTGGAACAACACCTTCTACCAACCGGGCGGTCCCATCTTCTTCTACACTGGAAACGAGGGAGCAGTGTCGACATTCGAAGTTGCGACTGGAATGATGTTTGACCTGGCACCAATGTTCAATGCTTCCATCATTTTCGCCGAGCACAGATTCTACGGAGCCACTCAGCCATTCGGAAATCAATCTTATGCTAATCTAGCCAATGTTGGATACTTGACTAGTGAACAGGCTCTGGCTGATTATGCAGAACTTTTGACTGAGTTGAAGAGAGACAATAATCAATTCGGGAAGACGTTCCATAGGGATTCACAAGTCATTTCTTTCGGTGGATCTTACGGTGGAATGCTGTCCGCTTGGTTTAGGCAAAAGTATCCACATATTGTCAAGGGGTAAGTAACTTTTTGGCTGAAAACACCTTCTAGAAACTTCTTCTAGTTTTAGCTACTTCTCCCGTGATGAAAATCACGTAAAAAGTCTTTATCAGTGATCATCCAGCCATTAACGATGATTCCCTGATAAGCGTATTAATTTCCCTGATAAGCGTATGGTGATGAATCATTGAGTTACAAGTAAAAAAATGTAGTTTTTTACACAAAATGACGATGGGCATTAACAATCACTGATAACAAATTTTTAGTAATCTTTTGGTTTTCGAGTTATGCGCCTTTAAACAGACACCAAAAGGACTATGAATCAGAACCAAGGGTTTAGTTTTAAGCTAGTTTCTAAGCTTTGTATCTCAACATCTTTATTAGCTAGAGGGATTTTATGATCTACAGTATCCAAACTAAAAAAAATTAAAAGTGACTTTTTGGCTCTTTTTAGGTTGAAATGACCTTGAACCTTCCGGAAACTTTTTAGCGGTTTTTACGATGATGAGAATTACAAATAAAAAGTCATAAAAAACAGGAACTCTTTCTTATCAATTATCATTAACTGTAAGCTATTAAAATTTTGAAGACGATTCCCTGATAAGCTTATTAATTGAAGATGATTCACAAGAAACAGAAAAATATTTATGACAATCTTAGCACAGATACAGAGCATTAATAATCACTGATAACCAAAGTTAGGTTTTTGAGTTATGCGCCTTTAAACAAACCCAAAAGAACTATGAATCAGGAAGCAATGGACTAATTTTAAGCTAGCTTCAAAGCTTTGTATCTCAAGAATTTTCATAGCTATCAACAAATTTCCAACTAACAAAATGCTAGGAACTTCCTGATCTACAGTATCCAAACTAAAAAAAAATCAAACTTTCAGAGCTTGGGCTGGTTCGGCACCTCTGATTTACATGCACGATGGAGGTGTGGATCCAGGAGCATTCGATAATATCACATCAAGAACTTATGTTGAGAATGGATGCAATAGGTTTATTCTGGCAAATGCTTGGAATGCAGTTCTCAATCTTTCCTCTACTGGTGGGTTCTAGATTACTGTAGAAATTGGACTCTTGGGTTGAGCAAGAGCTTCTGCTCAGGGGTCCACAGATTCTCAAAATATTAAGCTCAAGAGAACGATCTCAGCGGTCCACAGCGTCCTAGGTTTTTGAAGTCTTACTGTAGCCAACCTTTTCCAGATTCTGGTCGTGCGTGGCTCAACAACAACCCAGTCTTCAAGCTAGATCCACGTACTCCAATCAACAATCAAACTGATGGATGGAATCTCAACGCCTACATGCGTGAAGCCATCGAATACATGGCAATGGTTGACTATCCATACCCAACCGGGTTCTTGGAGCCTCTTCCAGGTTGGCCGGTTACTGTAGCATGCGGATATATGAACGCCACTGGAGAATCATTCTCTGATCAGGACTTGGTGACAGCAGTGGCCAATGCAGCAAATGTTTATTACAATTATAACCAAAATGCCAATTTCACCTGGTGCATTGATTTTAATATTTGTGGAGATCAAGGAACCGGAGGACTTGGGGATGATGCTCTCGGATGGCCATGGCAAGAATGCTCGGAAATCATAATGGCGATGTGTGCATCTGGAGGAGCTAATGACGTCTTCTGGTCTGAATGTGGAGATAATATTTATGATACGCTGAAGCAGGGATGTGTTTCGATTTTCGGAAGTATGAAGTGGACAACAGCCAACTGGAATATTGATGCAGTAAAGACGCTCTACGGATATGACTTGAGTGGATCCAGTAACCTAATCTTAACGTAAGCCTAGTGCGATGGGGCGAGATTGCTGTAGACTCTAAATTTTGCAGGCAAGGACACCTTGACCCATGGTCTGGAGGCGGTTACAAAGTCGACCAAACCAATACTGCCCGTGGAATCTATGTCATGGAAATTCCCGGTTCTGCACATCATTTAGATTTGAGACAACCAAATACTTGTGATCCGAATACAGTGGTTAATGCTAGATATCAGGTAAGGCCCCCTAGATAATCTAGTTTTCTCCGTAGAGCGCGTTACCTTTCTAGCTTTTCTGCTTCTCTTGACGTCACTTCTCGGTCTTTATATTTTGAAGCGGTATCTCAAGAACCAGAACAGCTACTCAATTTTTGTAAACTAACAAAATGTGTAAAATTTAAGAGCTACATTATCCTAATTGAATAATTTCAAAAATCTTATTTAGTTTCCGAGATACAGCGTTTCAAAGATCACTCGCTCTAAAGAAGAGTAGAAGGGTGATGACCCTCCCTTGTTGGACGTGCAAAATCTCCGAACGCTTATATCTCGCATACCAAAAACGTTATCGAAAAATTATTGTTAACTAATGAAATATGTATATTTCAAAAGCTACAAAATACTTGTTGACAAGTTCAACGGAAATTTTGAAGTTTTTGAGATACAGCGCTTTGAAGAGTTGTCGCTCTGAGCGAAAAATGACCAACTAATAAAATGTGTAAAATTTCAAGAGCTACAATTCATCAGTTCACAAATTTCAGATATCTATCCCACAAATTGAGATAACTTGAAATTTCCAGATCGTTCAAATCCTGAAATGCTGGGTTGACGTAAACTGCAACACCATCCCAACCATCTCTCCTCTTCCAACTCTCTCCATTCCGAACGTCGAGTGCAAAGACAGAATCGGAGAGTATCCATGGGGACAAACTGACAAGGCAGCCGCGACGTCTTCTATTCTAATGTCTTGTATTCTGGCACTTGTCTATTATATGTTCTAGAATAAAGTTTTTGATGATTTTCCAAACTTCCATTACATCATTTTTCAGCCAAAATTTCAAAATGTTCCTTTAGAAAATAGTGACTTTAAGACACTAATCCGACCATCCTCCTTATCGAAATATGTTTGGGGCGTCGGCCTTGTCTTAAATAAGACCTAAACGAGAGAGGAAGTGAGTTCCGTTTCATTTTTAAAGTTTCAAAATGCAGATCAGAAATTTTTTGGTCTTATTTGCTTTGATTTTTGCAGAATCGGATGCCAGCAGAAGACACCATAAGGTAAGCTTTCTCGTCTTTTTAAGCTGAAAATTTCTAGAAGTTTGATAAAGCTCTCTTTCGCTAGGCCTAGCTAGCTTCAGCTTAGCTCTAGATACAGTACCCGGCCAATAGAATACAAAAAAAAAACCATGTTTTCAGTTGATTTTCGGCCTATCAAGTTTCCAATCACTTTGAAAACTCTCGAGGATCTAAAAGAGGCCCAAAACTTTTCAAAAATTCTTTTCTGATCCTTTTTCAGTTCCATAGACATCTGGTGGCGTTGGGAGAGGCGGCTGACGGGACAACTTCTGGCGCAGCGGTTCAGACATCGTCAGTAGCTCCAGATGCCAAAACTACAGCTAATGCTCCAATCGCCACGTCATCTGCTGCTCCAGAAGTAAAGACACCTTCAGCGGCTCCAGATGTCAAAACTACTGTAGTCATTCCAATCGCCACGTCATCCATCGCTCCAGCTGTTCATAGCTCTTCCGCAGCTCCAGCAGCTCAGACGTCTTCAGCAGCTCCAGCTCACCAGACATCCTCTGTGGCTCCAGTTATTCATTCCTCCTCATCTGCCCCAATCGCTGGCTCCTCGTCCCTCTCTTCGGAACCCCAATCCTCCACAGCAAGTATTCCTTCAAACTCGACATCTTCAGAATCCACCCCTTCTTCTATTCTTCCTCCTAGCACCACATCAACCCTTCCATCCACAACTACATCATCCGGATTCTCGAATTTCTCATTTTTCAGTACTATTTTGGTTTTGTGCTTGATTTTCTAGATTAATAAAAGTTGTTAAAACCTTTAAAAACTGAAAACCAAAAAAAAAGAAAAATAATGTTTAATAAATAATGAAGCTGATGCTCCTTTAAAGGTACAGTAATCCACATGCTCATCTAGCTTCAATGTGGTCAGAAGCGCGTTTTAAAGGCGCATGCTCCTATAGCATAACCGCAAGCGCCGTAGGCACATTTAAAGGCGCATGCTTCTGTTCCTTTCCTACAGTATCCAAGTTTAAAAAAAAGAGCAAAAATAATGACAAAAAAATCTAGCAAAAAATAAAATGAGGGATGCGCCTTTAAAGGTGCATTCTCCGAGCCCAATTTAAAGCTCCAAAAGCCCACAAAGCTCCAAAAGCCCAAATGCTCCAAAAGCCCACAAAATGAAAAACAAAAGAAAACTGATGCACCTTCAAAGGTACAGTAACCCGAATAAAAAACCTCAGACTTCATATATAGTTGAACTACAAGGGATACAAAAAAAGACAATCAATCAATAAAAAAATACAATTCTACTGCTTAAAATACTGTTGCTCGACTCTCTTGGTGAATTCAATGAGATTCGTGTATTTTTTCAGAATATTCGTGATATTTGTCAGCGGAAGACGGACGGTGATCAGCGTGTACATGTGGCCGAATAGAAGAGCATCGGCTTCTGTTGGCAAGTCTCCAGTCAGGTATTTTTGAGTGCCAAGTTGGGCGGAGAGGGCACGGAACACCTTGTCCGCTTGCTCGCCGACCTCGTCCATTGTCTGCAAAATTTGAATTTTTCAAAAAAAAAAATTTTTTTAATTGAATTTTTTTTTGAACTTTTTGATCCATTTTATCTTGGCCCCTATGAAAGATATCAAAAATCTGTCAACTGATAATATGCTTCTCACATTATAATCAACATTTTATCAGTTGAAATATTCCTGATATCTCATACAGGAACAGAGATAAATTGGCTCACAGATTAAGCAATTTTGAAATATTGAGCTCGTCAACTTTGAGCCAATTTATCTCGACCCCTATACTAGATATCAAAAATCTGTCAACTGATAAAAAGTTTCCGATAATGTGATGAACATTTTATCAGTTGACAGTTTTTTGATATCTTTCACAGGAACCCAGATAAATTGTTTCAAAATTTGGGAATTTTAACGGAACAGTTTGAGCTTATCAACTTTGAGCCAATTTATCTCCGCTCATATCAGAGATATCAAATGTCTGTCAACTGATAAAATGTAGCTCACATTTTGATAAACCTTTTTATTAGTTGACACATTTTTACATCTCTTACAGGAAGCAAGATAAATAGGCTCAGAAATTGAGCCCTCCTACCCCCCAAAAGTGGGCGGGGCCTAAATTCTAAATCAATCCAAAAACGCTAAAAACGCTTCAAAACTCTTTGAAAACTCCTCTAAAACCGCCCAAAAACCGCTGAAAATCCATTTTTGAGCATTTTTCAAAAAAGTGCCCGGATGGCCTAGTGGGAATTTTCATCAAAATCTATCAATCTGAAGGTCGCGGGTTCGACTCCCACCGATGGCAATTTTTTTCGTTTTTTGTGTGGAGCTAGAAAATGACCTTGAAAGGTTGGAATTTCTAAAAGTTAGGCTCCGCCCCTGACTCCGCCCACTTTTGTGGGAAGGGTGGCTCAATATCATTCGTTTTTTTCTCGTTTTTTCGCCATTTTCCGTGTGTCTGTGCATCCAGATGTCCCTCCCTACCGTACCTTTGCATCCCAATCCTTATCAGCGAGCTCTTCCAACACGCTACGACGCTTCAAAAACGGCAAAACCGTGGAAAGGGGCCAGTGATAGACGCTACCGTACCTCAGACGTGTCACCTTGTCGTACGTCTCGTCGTGTTTCCAAAGAACAAATTTCTGGAAGAAGATTCTTGGGTTTTTGGGTTTTTCTAGGCCATCTTGTCAGGATTCTAGGACACTATCGAATGATGGCCTAGTAACCCAAAAGTTGGGATTTCTAGGCCACTGTTTCATTTTTGGGGCTTCCAGACCTTCCTAGATGGCCTATAAATATAAATTTTTGGATTTCTGGGCCACAACTTGATTTCTGGGGATTCTAGACCTTTCTAGATGGCCTAGAAATCCAAAATTTGGAATTCTAGGCCACGGCTTGATTTCAGCGGTTCTAGAGCTTTCTAGGCAGCGTGCGATGGCCTAGGAATCTCAAATTTCGAGATTCTAGGCCACCGCTCAATTTCGGTGACGTTGGACATTTTAGATGGCCTAGAAACCAGAAATTCGGGATTCTAGGCCGTTGCTTGATTTTTTTGCGATTCTAGGTCTTCCTAGATGGCCTAGAAACCCCAAATTTTGGATTTCTAGCCCACTAGTTGATTTTGCCGTTTTTAAACCTTTCTAAACCTTTTTAGATGGCCTAGAGATTCAAAATTCGGAATTCTAGGCCCCGGCCTGATTTCAGCTGTTCTAGACCTTCTTAGATGGCCTAGAAACACACATTTTGGGATTTCTAGGCCATAGCTCGATTTTTGGGATACGAGACCTTTCTAGATGGCCTAGAGACCCAAACCTTGAGATTCTAGGCCACTGCTTTTTTCCGAAGTTTCTGGACCTTTCTAAACCTTTCTAAATGACCTAGAAACCCCAGCATTTGGATTTCTAGGCCATTCTAGGCCTTTCTAGATGGCCTAGAACCCCCAAACTAGGCCATTTTTGGGGGTTTTCCCGGCCCCTACCAACCTCTACAGTAGTCAACAAGTGCTCAATCATTGAGATATTGGCTCTCATATCGGCGACTTGCGTTTCGCTCAAATGTGACGTCAAGGTGACGCCCTTCTTATGAACAAAATCGACGATGGCGTTGAATCCCGTAATCAGGGTTTTATTGATTTTCAGAAGCGGAACGACGCCGTCTGGAGAGATAAAGTCGACGTTGGGACGTTGACGAACGTTGAATGGGAGTGACGTCATTCGGAGGAATGTCTGGACGGCGAGGCAGTCGGCAAAGTCGTACATTAGAGCTTGGTCGTCTGGAAAATTCGATTTTCAGAGTTTTGGCGGGAATTCAAAATTTTGAAAAGTTTGAAAAAATTACTTTTTTTCTAAATTTTCAGCTCAATTCCAGCTTTTAAAGCCATTTTTTCCCAAATTTTCAGATAAAATTCCAGCATTTCCAGCCAAAAAAACCCACTCAAATACGGTGTAAACAACGACACATCCTCCCAATCTTGCGCCGCGTTCATCGACAACGCGTCGGTTACCAATTGGGTTATCACACCCGAGCTGCTCATCTGGAAGTATGTTTTCTGGCTTAAAATATGATAAAAACAGGGGGCGAAAATGGTGAAAAATGAGTCGGAAAACGTTCAATGTCTGCCTAAAATTAACAAGATATAAGTAAAAATCCCTGAAATTGCCTCAAAATAAGCTGCAATGGAGCCAAAATGGCTCAAAATTGCCCGAAATCCCCTTAATTTCAGGCGACAATCGCTAAATTTCCAAGTTAAAACCATAAATTTCCAGCCAAAAATCTCTAAAAATCAGGTTTAAATCCTTAATTTACAACTAAAAACCGTCAAAATTCAAAGCGAAAAATACAAATTTCGAAGTGACAACCATGAATTTTGAGCAAAACTGTAAAAATCGGTAAAACCCTAATTTTCAATGAGAAATCACTGAAAATGGCTCAAAACAAATAAGTTTTTCATTAAAATTCTAAAATCACTGAAATTCGGATTAAAAATCACTGATAAAGGCTTTAAAAAGCTTTAGAAAGGGCTCAAAATAACCTAAAAATCCCAAAAATTTAAATATAAAAATTCCTGAAAATGGCTCAAAATTTCCCAAAAATCCCTAAACTTCAGGCAAAAAAATCACTATAATTCAGCTGAAAGTCTCTAATTTTCAAGTGAAAATCTCTGAAAATAACTCAAAATAAGCTGAAAAAAGCTCAAAATTATCCGAAAATTTGCTAAATTTCAATTGTGAAAACCATTGAATTTCGAGCAAAACTCTCTAAAAATCAGGTTAAAATACCTAATTTTCAATGAAAAATCACTGAAATTTGGAGCGAAAAATACAAATTTCGAAGTAAAAATTACTGAAAATAGCTGAAAAAAGCTTTGAAAATGGCTCAAAATTGCCCAAAAATCCTTCAATTTCAGGTTGAAATACCTAAATTTCATGCGAAAATCTCAAAATTTGAAGTAAAAATTCTCAAAATTTGAGCTAAAAATCACTGAAAATAGCTCGAGTAAAAGCTTCAAAAAAGCTGAACAATCGCTCGAAAATAAGGTTTGAAAAAGGCTCAAAGCTTTCTAAAAATCCCTAAATTCCAAATTTAAAATTATGAAAAATTGCTCAAAGTGTGACCCAAAAATTACAAAAAATCAATAAATTTCAAGTATAAATCACTGGAATTTCACCCAGTTTCCACAAATTTCTCAGCAAAAATTGGATTTTTATAAAAGAAAAATGAGTATTCATGGGTATGCGAAAAAAAAAACCAAAAACAGCAGCAACAACAGTGTAAAAATCAACGAAAAAATCAACAAATAATGGCATTAAAAAACAACGAAAAAATTGAATTTTTGGGTCCAATTTTGGTGAAAATTCTCCAAAAAATCGATTTTTGGATCCGAAGAGCATCACTCCGTCGTCGTCGTCTTCTTCTTCAACCACGGCTTTTCTCCTCTCGCATTCGGTCTGCTTTTTCGTTTCGCTTCGAAACCGGATCGTTTGGCAGCTGAGCCATTTTTGGTTTTTGTGTTTGTAGAGACGATGGTTTTGAGGGATTCAATCGCTTTCGTGTATCTGGAAAAATTGGGAATTTTCAGCATCAAATAGAGGATTTTGGGACCAAAAACTGAAAATTTCCAATAACAAATTGGTCGTTTTTGGAAGGAAATTCGAGAAATTTTATCAGAAAATGGTTGATGTTGGGGATCAAAATTTGCCAATTTTCAGCGAAAATCCCGAAATTTTTGGGATTAAGGTTAGTCATTTTTGAGCCAAATCAGTCAATTGTTGGACAAAAAAAAACCGGTGACTTTTAGCTAAAAATAGGCGATTAGCGATTTAAACTCGACAATTTTCAGCAAAATATTGATGATTTTTCAATCCACATCAATCAATTTTTGAAATCGAAATCTGAAATTTTTAGTTGAAAATTGGCAATTTTGGGATCGAAACTCGGACATTTTTTAGCATGAAAATGATGATTTTCAAGCCTAAATTTTCCTATATTCAACCAGAAAATTGATGATTTTAGGATGAAAAATCGATAATTTTCCGCATGAAATTGGTGATTTTAGGATCAATTTTTTCCAATTTTCAGTGAAAATTCCAAAATTATTGAGATCAAAATTAGTCAATTTTTAATGGAATTTCGACCATTTTCAGCTGGAAATTGATGATTTTTCAAGGCAAATCAGTCAATTTTTAGAATCAAAATAGATGATTCTGGGGTCGAAATTCGAGAATTTTCCGCATAAAATTGAAGATTCTGGGATGAAAAATCGATAATTTTTCGCATAAAAATAGTGATTTTGGGATAAAAATTAGTCATTTTTCAAGCCAAATCAGTCAATTTTTGAGAAAAAAATTCGCTAATTTTCAATGGAATTTTGACCATTTTCAGTTGGAAATTGATGATTTTTCAAGCCAAATATAACAATTTTTGGAGGCAAAATAAACGAAATGATGATTTTCAAGCCTATATTTTCCTATATTCAGCCAGAAAATTGATGATTTTAGGATGAAAAATCGATAATTTTCCGCATGATATTGGTGATTTTGGGATCAAGTATTTCCAATTTTCAGCGAAAATTTCAAAATTATTGAGATCAAAATTAGTCATTTTTAAGACAAATTAGTCAATTTTCAGTCGAATGTCGACTATTTTTAGCTGGAAATCGGTGATTTTGAGATCGAAAATTTGAAATTTTCTGCAGAAAATTCGAAGTTTTTGGGACCAAATTCTGCTACTTCTGTAATCGAAATTCGTCTTTTTTGGACTCAAAATTGTCATTCTTGGAGAGAAATTCAGCAATTTTCAGCATAAAAAAGGTGATTTTTGGTCAGAAATCTGAAAATTTTTAGATCGAAAATTTGAAAATTTCCAGCATAAAATTGATGATTTTGGGTTCAAAATTGTCAAAATTTCAGCCGAAAAAAAATAACAGTTTCAGATTAAATTTTTGCTGATTTTTGGGTGAAACTTTATGATTTTCAAGCCGAAATTTCAATTTTCAGCTCAATTTTCATTTTAAACCTCACCTCTCCAAATCCTTCTCAAACAGGTACTCATCCATTTGCTCCTCAACCGTATCTCCCCACAAATTTGTGACTTTGAGCATCTTCACAAACAACCTCTTCGTCTCCTTATCACCAACACTAATCACATATCCCTCCTGCCCAGCACGTCCCGTTCTTCCGGCTCTATGCACAAAAAGCTTATCATCCGCGGGCAGATTGTAGTTGATAACACAATCAACCCGATTCAAGTCCGTTCCTCTCGCCAGCACATCTGAGCAGATGAGCACTCGATTCGGGTTTTTATTGAATTTCTCCAACATCTTATATCGGCGTTTTCCGAAGAGCTGCGCTGTGAAGTAATCGACTTCGAACTCTCCCTGAGAGAGCTCTTTGAGCACATGAGCCAGCCGATTTGAGGAGGAGACTTCGTTGACGAAGATTAGAGTTCTGTTGAACTTGTTTCGTTGGATTTGTTGATAAACTGCTAGCGGGTGGAATTTAGAGTCGGAGACGATTAGGCGGTGGGAGATGGAGGATGGGAGGGCGAGACGACCAGAGATATGATCCATTGGGACGGTGGAGGTGATCTGAAAGCGATTTTTAAGATTTTGGGGAATCTAGGAATCCAAGGACCCAGGGATCCTAGAATCCGAGGATCCTAGACATCAGGGCTCCTAGAATCCAGGGATCTCAGAATCCACGGATCCCAGAATCCAGGGCTCGTAGAATACAGGGACAGGCCCTGAGACGTAGGGTAAGCACCCCCTGATTTTGGTAGAAACTAGGGATTCTAGAATCCAGGGATTCGAGAAACCAGGGATTCTAGAATTCAGGAATCTCGGAATCCAGGGATTCTAGAATTCAAAGATTCTAGAATCCAGGGATCCCAGAATCCAGGGATTCTAGAATCTATGGATCCTAGAATTCAAGGATCCTAGAATTCAGGCATCCTAGAACCCAGAAATCCTAAAATCCAGGGATCCTAGAATCTAAGAATCTAAGAATCTGAGAATGCTTGAAATTTGAAATTTCAGGCTTATTTGATTTAAAATTGAATTTTGGACCAAATTTCGGTATTTTTTCATCCCGAACTGCTCATTTTTACTTTAGAAAACGGATTTTCAGCTCAAAAATTGTATTTTCAGAGCTTAAAATCTGGATTTTCAGAGCTGATTTAATCGATTTGACTGATTTTTCTAGCGAAAAAAAGCGACTTTCAGAGCTCAAAAACTAGATTTTTCAGCCCGAAAATTGGATTTTTAGCACGATAATCCACTTTTCGGCCAATTTTAAGACAAGCCCCACATCTTTAGCCTTCGTCGCCGTTGCTGAGAACAATTTGGGCTTGAACAGATTCCACAAATGCAACTCTTCGACATCCTTGGACAACGTCGCCGATAGAACAATCTTCTGTGGAGCCCGTCTCTGTCTGATGACGTCATTCAGACAAGCCACTCTCTCCATGCCTCCACACAAGAATTCCACCAAATCCAGCCATTCCTCTCGCATCAATTTGCCCATTCGATCCGCTTCATCAACGATCAGAAATCTCAATTTCGATAGATCGATTGGGGGCGGGATTTGGGCGGTTAGGTGTTGAACAAGGCGCGCCGGCGTGGCGACGATCACGTTTGGAGGATCGGCGGATAGTTGACGTTGCTCTTTGTCGAAATCGTTGGCTCCGGAGAGAGAGACAACCTTGGCAGTGCCTTCGGGACCATTCCAGCGTCTGGAAATAGCGATTTTTGGCTTAAAAACTGTCAAAAAATCGGGGAACCTCACATTTTTTAGCTTAAAAATTGGATTTTTAGCTCAAAATTTGATATTTTAGAGCTCAAAATTTGATATTTTAGAGCTCAAAAATTGAATTTTCAGCTCAAAATTGGTATCTTAGAGCTCAAAAATGGGACTTTCAGCTCGAAATTTGTTATTTTAGAGCTCAAAAAGTGGATTTTTAAAATTAATATTTAGGAACTTAAAAATTGGATTTTCAACTCAAAATTTGCCACTTAAGAGCTCAAAAAATTAGATTTTCAGCACGAAATCGATATTTTAGAGCTGAAAAATTGAATTTCCAGCTCAAAATTTGAATTTTAGCTTGAAAAAATGTTTTTTGTCAGCCAAATTTTCAAAAATTTCAAATGTTTTCTGACAATTTTATTGCTTAAAATTTGATTTTTGGTGATTTTTCACTGCAAAAAGTGACTTTTAGAGCTCAAAACTGGGATTTTCAGGTCGGAAATCGGAGTTTCAGCCCGAAAATCGGGGATTTTTAAGCCAATTTCAAATTTTAAAGGTTGATGGCCTAGAAATACACAAATTTGGAAATCTAGACCTTTTTAGGCATTGTATGAAGGCCATTTTTGGATTTTTGAGATTTTTTGGAATTTCGATTTTTCTGAAATTTTAGGATTTTCTGGATTTTCAAGGCTTCTTTTTTTGCATTTTTGAGTTTTTTTTCGAATTTTTTTTGAAAATTTACAGATTCTAGACCTTCCTAGACATCGTATGATGACCTAGAAACCTGAAATTTGGGATTCTAGGCCAGTTTTTGACTTTCTTGATTTTTTTGGAATTTTTTCAACAATTTAGATGGCCTAGAAACCCAAATTTCAAAATTCTAGGTCTAAAAATCACTATTCCCGTACCTAAATTCCTCCACAATCTGTGTCACCAGCGTCTGCACTGGCACCAAAATCACCGCATGCAAGCTATTCGACGGCCTGGATCCCACGGCCGCCAGCACCGGCAAAACATAACAAATCGTCTTTCCACTGCCCGTCGGAGCCGCAATTGCCACGTCACGAGGTCTCAATGGGGGCGGAGCCTGGATATCTTTGAAAAGGGCGGGAAGGACGGAGTATTGAACCGGGAACCAGGTGGAAATCGTGTCGGGGACGGTTAGAAAATCGGGAATATCGATTTTCGAGAGGCTTTGAGATGTGGAGCTGTCAATGGTGGCTGAGAAGGTGGTGGCGTGCTGGACCCACGAGCTGGTGACTCTGAAAATGGAATTTTTCGAGAAATTTGAGGTAAAAATCGTTTTTTTCAGCTTTTTAAACCTTATTTATAACAATAAAACTATGTTTTTCAAAATTTTTCGGGAAAAAATTTTCTCCAAAAATTTTTTTAAAAACCAAATTTTCGCATTTTTCCTTCATTTCTAGCTTAAATTTCGAGTTAAAATCGTTGATTTCTGCGTTTTTCAGCCTAAATCTCACTTCAACGCCTCCAAATTCTTCATTTCCTGCTTTCCGAGCACTTTGAACAGCTCTCGATCCTTATTAAGTCCATTTTCTCCTATTTTTGCTTCAGGCTTAGGCTCAACGTCTTCTGTGTCCATCTCTTCATCTTCTACCTGCAAAAATTGGCTTAAAATTAATTAAAATTTTGAAAAATTACATTTTCTTCTAGCTTTTCAATTTCTTCATTAACTTCCTCCATTTCCTCCTCTTCAACCTGAAGAATAGGTTACATTCATTAAAAAACTCGGAATTTTCAATTTTTCCTACCTTTTCCTCCGCAAATTCTCTCTTTTGCTTCATTTTAATACCAAAAAATCGGCTAAAAAGCGCTGAAAAAAGTTGAGATCGAGAGCCGAAATTCGTGTGGATTTACGCTAAACAAGGCGCACGCCAGCGGGATATGCGGAGTGTCGTTCGCGAGATGGGCGGGGCGAAAATATACTTTTCTTGCGCCTGGAATTTCAGATTTTTAGAGGGTTTTCTGACTGAAACTTACGATTTGTAGCATTAAAAATTGTGAAAAATATGATTTTTTCACTGAAAAATCATGTTTTGGCATGAATTTGTCAAAAAAATCTTTTAAAAAATGAAAATTTGGGTCAAAAATTTCCAGATATTTTCCGAGTTTTTGTTGGGAATTTTCAGCTAAAACATATAAAAATGCACATTTTACTTAAAAATACACTTAAAAATTCGCTTCAAGGCCCAAAAAAATTTTCCAAACATTTCAGATTTTCCTCGAGCCTTTCTGGCTAAAATATGGGATTTTCAGCTAGAAAAGTTAGATTTTTTGGGTTTTTCAGCAGATTTTCAGCTAGAAACTGTAAAAATTCTACTTAAAATTGGTTTTTTGGGTGAAAATTTTTTTTTTGAAATTGGAATATTCTGGTCAAAATTTACTGGAAAATTCCAGGTTTTTTTTTTGAGTTTTTCAGTGTATTTTCAGCTAAAAAATTGAAAAATTCCAATTTTTACCAAAAAAATCACGTTCAGGCCTAAATTCTAAAAAAAAAACATTCAAAAAATTTCAAGTATTCCAGCGGCCTAAATTTGTGCAAAAAACAAAATATTGCCAAGATTCCAACAACAAAAAAATCGAGTTTTATTGAATTTTAGCACAGAGAAAAGAACGAATAAACATTTTACAGAAAATCAATGCAGTTTCATATCCTTATGCGACACCTCCCAATGCGTTTTCAGCGATTCCTTATCCTTGAATTGTCGCTCGCACAGCTCACATTTCACATGACTCATCGCATTCGGACCGTAATGCGTTTTCATGTGTCGGTTGAATTGAATCGTTCGAGTGAAGAGTTTCAGACACAGGTGGCACTCGATGTAGGCCGTATTGTGTACTTTATTGCGGTGGAGGAGCAGCATTTTGGAGCTGGAGAAGTTCTGTTCGCACAGCTCGCAGTACGTCGTCACGATGGTTTCTGTCACTTTTCGCTTCATCGCTTCTTCCCGATTCTTTTCCTCGTTCTGTATTTAATTGGGATTTTTGGGAGGGGCGGGAATTTGAATTTTTTGAAAAAATTCAAATTTTGGGATTTGAAATTTCAGCCAAATTTTCCAAAACTTAGGGGTTTTTTTTACAGTGAAATCTTTTTATTTTTGTCGTTTGACCTAATTTTGAAAAATTGAGGATTCATTCGAATTTCGAAAATCTCGAAAATTATAAATTTAAGGATTTTTGAAAAATTTGAATTTTCGAATTTCCAAAAATTTCAAAAAACATATTTTTTGAAAATTCAGAATTTCAGAAAATCGAAAATTCTTAAAATCGAATTTTCAGAAAAGCGAAAATTCAGAATTTCAGAAAAATCGAACATTTTCATAAGTCGAAAATTCAAAATTTTCGGGAAACCAGATTTTCGAAATGTTCGAATTTTCGAAAAATTTGAATTTCAGAAAATCGGATTTTGGAAAATTTTGAAATCCAATAATCCAAAATTTTTGGAAACCGAAATTTCAGAAAATTCAAACTTTCTAAAAATCAAAAATTTTCAAAAATCGAAAATACCAAAAAATTGAAAATTGAAAATTTCAAAATTCCAAAAATTCAGAAAACCAAAAAAATCGAAAATTTCAAGTTCAAATTTTTGAAAATCGAAATTTCAGATAATTCGAAAATTTGCGAAAATCGAAAATTAAGAATTTCAAAAGTTCAAATTTTTCAAAAATCGAAAATTCAAAATTTCATAAAAATCGAAAAATTTTAAAAACTCGAAAATTTTTCATAAATCGAAAACTCGAAATTTTTAAAAATTAAGTTTTGAGAAAATTCAAAATTCTTAAAATCGAATTTTCGAAAAATTAAAAATTTTCATAAAAATCGAAAATTTTCAAAAATTCGTAAATTACAAATTTCATAGAAATCGAAACTTCAAAAATTGAGAAAATTCGAAAATTTCAAAAATCGAAAAATTCAAAAATTTCAAAAATCGAAAATTCGAAAATTTCAAAAATCAAAAAATTCGAAAATTACGAATTCCAAAAAAATCGAAAATTTTCAAAATTTTCAAAAAAATACTAAAATTCAAGAAACCCAAAAATTGAAATTTCAATGATTTTTATTTAAAAACCCAAAAATCTAAAAAAAAATTCGAAAATTACAAATTTCATAAAAACCGAAAAATTCCAAAAATTCCAAAATCAAAAATTCCAAAAACTTTTGAAAATCGAATTTACGGAAAATTCAAATTTACAGAAAACTTAAATTGAGATTTCCAAAAAATGAATCTTGGCTTTTTCTTATTTATCTAAAATTCTGGATCCTCGAAATTTCAAAATTTCTCGATTTTCGAATTTCTTGAAATTTTCGGATTTTTCAAAATTTCGAAATTTCAAATTTCGCGCCAAAACTTCCTCACATCAATGCCGGAACTGGTCCGAATGATGCCTAGATCCATGAACAATTTCTTCTTAATATCCCGTCGCTCCTCGGCATTTTTCCTCCTTCGATCCTTGTAAGCATACGGTTTTCGAGCCGGAATCGGTGCTCCGTCAGACCCCAATTTTCGATTTTTCTGAAATTTTTGTCGGGGAAAAATGCTCAGTTTTCATGCTGAAAAGCTCAAAAAATTTGCTATTTCTAGCCTAAAAATTCTCATTTTTCTGGTTTTTTTTTCGAGTTTTTAGATCAAAAATGCTATTTTTCTAGAACTTTCTCGCTATTTTTTAGGCTAAAAATGCTCAATTTTTCTTGAAATTTCCAAAATATTTTTTGGCAAAAAATCTCAATTTTTTGGGACTTTTTGGCTGGTTTTGGGCCAAAAAGTCTCAATTTTTTTTTGGAATTTTTCCACTTTTTTTGCCAAAAAATTTTGGATTTTTCTGGAGTTTTTTTTGGGCTCTTTTCATCCATAAAAGACTGGTTTTAAGCCTAGATATAAGTTCTAAAAAGCCTAAGATTGCTCATTTTAAGCCTAAAAACCTTCTGCAAAATCGGCGCAAGCCCAAACTGGCTATCCGGAGCATAGGTAAAAATGCCGGCCACCGAAAACTCAGGATCCCTATCGAATTTCCGGTCCGGCTGGAGAATTGTGAGCATCGCTGGCATTTCTGGAGTCGTCACGTCTTCTGGCTCCTTCTCGAAGCATTCACATCCCACCGACTCGTGCTCCATGAGCTCACAGAGCTCTCGAGTAGCTTTTCGGCATTCTCGGTGCTCCAGGTAGCTGTTGTACTCCCTAGAATCAGCGGTTTGGCCGTTGAAGACGTCTTCTGAAGTTCCTAACAAACCGAAACTTCCGATGCTCTTCTGTCTCTGGATCCCCCATGAGCCTCCTTCTGATGCTTCGTCCAAGAATTCAGGAGGCATCATGGAGATCCTCGCCAACCTGGATAAACGTGGCGGGGAAATTTAAAAAAAAGGTTCACGAGGGAATTTCAAAAAATTCTTTAAAAAATGAAATAAATTACAATTTATCCGTCTAGAATGTTTGGAAATTACATAAAAAGGGACCCAAAATTTAGGAAAAAGCTTTGGAATATGAGGAGAGTCTACAAGTAAAGAGAATTTCATATAGAAAAAGAGAGAGAAAAAAGAAAAAAATTATTAATTTAAGAAGAAAAAACACAGATTTCTGTTGGCGGCAATGGATCTAAAAGAAGGGGGCGGGGCTTACGAGAACAAGAAAGAGTATGGGTATCCACGGTATTTGGAGCGGAACACTGAGAGCAGGAACGAGAAGAAGACGCAGATGAAGACGAGTCCGACGATGGCGAGAGCTGGAAATTTCACAGCATTATTGGAGCAATTCGGGATGTTTTATACGAATTTTGAGCAAAAATAGACATTTTCGAGGCTAAAAATAGCCATTTTCAAAGATTACGCTGTTAGGAAAGTGATGGCCTAGAAACCCAAATTTTCGGATTTCTAGGCCACAAGCTTTAAATTTGTGTATCTAGATTGAAAAATCATATTTTCTAGCTTCGAAACACTAATAAATAGAATTTGGAATACTCTGCAATTTGGTCAAAAATTCCCATGGCCTAGAAACCAAAATTTTTTGGATTTTCTAGGCCACCAGTTTTGTAATATTTTTAATACCAAAAATAATGATTTTTCAAGGCTAAAACAGCACTTTTTAGGCTCATTTTCAGGGCAAAAATAGCTCTTTCTAGAGCAAGATAGCTACTTTCAAGGCCAAAAACTCACTATTAGCTGGAATGCTAAAAAGGCTTGACAACGGGTTAGCCTTCTTCTGCTGATTCTTCTTATCCTTTCCGTTAGCCTGATCAGCTGCCTCGTTGACACAAATGAATCCAACGGCGACGAGAGCATAGAGAATTCCAACAATGTAGGTCTCAGCAATCAGCTGGAATTGTGTGGATCCATGGATGAACGATGGCTCCTTGGTGTTTGGATTGGTGATCATGAATGGTGGTCCACGAATGTGATTCCACATTTGTCCAGACATGAAAATGAAGGTGATAGCCATGCAAACGAATCCCCACATGGTTCTGTTGAAAAGGAAGTCCAGACTGTTTCTCTTCACGTAGAGCATTCCCAAGAGAAGCGAGACGAAGAGAGCAATCACAACTGGAGCCGTGTAGTTTGGTGGGCGAATCACACGAATGTGAACTTCAGTCTGGTCTTGAACGAATCTTCCAATAGCGTCAGCATCGAATCCTTGTCTCTGGAAATCCATCTGTTCTGGACGCTTCTTGGCGGAGAGTTTGGCTCCAAAATGGTAGAGAATTGGGGCGGTGTTGAGGTTCATTTGTTGGAAGATTTGTGGAGCGTCTTCATAGTCGACGATTCCGAAGAACACCTTTTTGCGGTCGGACTCAGAGCTCGTGTAGCGATGGGAGTTGGCAACGATCATGAATTCGTCGTAGGCGGGTCTGAAAATGGCGGTTAATGTGGATTTTTGAGTCTTAAAAATTGGTTTTCGGACTCTAAAAGTTGACGTTTTGGCAATCGTTTCTAGTCGATTTTCAGTAAATTTTAAATTAAAAAAGACCTGAAAAACCCTGAAATTGGTCTAAACTTAATTTAAAAAGCGAATTAGGGTCATTTTGAACTATTTTCTGACCAAAATTTTTTATTTTCGGCAGTTTTTTCAAATGTTCCCAGTCGGTTTCCAGTATGTCTAACCTTATGAGAATTAAGCTATTTTGTTCAAAACCGGCCAGAATTTCAGCGTTTTAGCTATTTTTCTCAGCATCTTCTCGGCCATTTTTCGCTATTTTTGGCTACTTTTAGTCCGTTTTTCCAGCCAATTTCAACGATTTCCATCAATTTTCCACCTGCACTCACTTGCAAATCGGGCAATTCACGCCTGGCGACAACGCTGTGAACATGACGATCATCGAGTAGTTACGCGGTTGCATTCGCACCAAATTCTTCCATTTGTCCATGTTGAACTTGACAATGGACTGACGGGCGGTCAGGTCCGCCAGGTTTTGAACCTTCTCATCGAGAGTCTGCTGTTGAGCCAAACAAATGGCGAACAGCGCGAGGAGAAGTGGTACCAGTGTTCTCATCTGAAAAATCGCATTAAAAATTGGATTTTCAGCTCAAAATTCGCATTTTTAATATGAAAAATTGGATTTTTGTCTTAAAAATTTGGTTTTTTTTTCAGCTAATTTCGAAAAAAGTAATCAAATTTCGATTATTTTGTATGACACTTCTACAGCGAATTCTGGCAAAAAAGATTTCTTCGTAAAAGAAGATTTTTAGAGTTCAAAATTCAGTTTTTGAGCATGAAAAAGTTTTTGAGCATGAATTGGATCGTCAGCTTGAAAAGTCGGATTTTAAACTCAAAAGCAGGCTTTTAGGGAAATAAGCAAAAAAAAGAGAGAAAATAGGTAAGAATTGGAAGCTTAAAAATTGAATTTTCAGCTCGAAAAATCGGATTTTAAGCCTGAAAATTGGATTTTAGCCCTATAAAAACCGGGGTTTGAGCTAAAAATTGGGTTTTCAGCCCAAAATTCGTATTTTTAGCTTATAACATTTTAATTTTCAGCTCAAAATTCAGTTTTTGAGCATGAAAATTGGATCGTCAGCTTGAAAATTAAAAAATTGAATTTTTAGCTCAAAAAATCGGATTTCCAGCTGGAAAGTTCAATATTTTGAGTCCAAAATATGGATTTTCGGCTTAAACAATTCATTTTTAGCTCAAAAAAAAAACGAATTTTCAGCTCAGAAATTAGATTTTCAGCTAAAAATTGGTATTTTTAGCTATAAAATCGGATTTTCAACCTAAAAAATGGGGTTTCGGCTCAAAATTTGGATTTTGAGCTTAAAAACTAAAATTTGAGCTTAAAAATTGGACTTTAGGCACAGAGTTTGGATTTTAGCCTAAAAAGAGGTTTAGAGAAAAAACTAGCAAAAAAACAAGAGAGAAAATAGGTAAAAATCTCGCAGAGACGAATAAATCAAAAATAGCGAGAAAAAAAACCAAATTATTATGAAAATTTTATACAAAAGAGATCCACAAAATAGCTCAAAAATTCCGCAATTCATCTCTTGCTCGTCGCAAATCCAGAGAATCCCATCATGGCACGAATCTCCGGATCCAGACCATCATCATCCTCCTGCTCATCCTCATCCTCTTCTTTTTTCGCTTCTCTCTTTCGTTTTCTGTTATTATCAACCTTCTTATCTTTCTTGTAGTCTGCCATTCTCGCTTCTTCTTCCTGCACGTCTTCTAGCAACTGCTCCACTTGCGCTTCCCGCTTTTCTCGTTCTTCTGAAAAATGGAGATTTTTAGGGCAAAAATAGGCATCTTTAGGGCGAAAATAGCTCTTTTAAGGTCGACAATAGTCACCGTCTTAGGTTAAAAATTGCTCTTTTAAGGCTAGAAATAGCTCTGTTAAGGCCAGAAATAGCTCTTTCTAGGGCAAAAATGCTCTTTCTAGTGTGAAAATAGCTTTTTTAGAGCAAAAATAGCACCTTTCGGGCAGAACTAGCTCTTTTCAGAGCAAAAATAGGCATCTTTAGGGGAAAAATAGCTCTTTTCGGAGCGAAAAAAAGCTCTTTTTAGGCCAAAAATAGCTCTCATTGAGTCAAAAACATACCTTTTTAGGGCAAAAATAGTCCATTTTAGAGCTGAATTGGCGCTTTTTCGGGCAAAAAAAACTTTTTAGGGCAAAAATAAGCTTTTTAAGACCAAAAATAGCCTTTTTTAAGCACTCACTTTTCTCCTTGAGCAATTTAAACCTGTCTCGCACATCTTCCACCGTACTCTTCTTCGTTTTCATCGACATTCCGATATTTCTCTGATGGTTCTTTCCGTTGATATGGTCCAGAAAATTGATGGAATCCTTGACTACACAATCACAAACGTCACAATAGAAGCCTCCAGTCTCCGCCGATGGTGTCGCTTTTGTGATAACCACTGATTTGCCGACCTTTGAATCTAGATCCACCTTGTATTCCCTGGCTTTCAGCATCTCTCGCTTCACTTTTGGCTCGTCTTTCTTCTTTTTTCCAGTTCTGATATCTTCGGCCTCTTTTTCATCGAGCGCTCGTTGATGAGCAGCTAGCGAGTACTCTTTCTCATCCCACGTTCTTCTGTGGTTGGTCCCAGACGCCTGGGATCCGCTTTGTTGGTAGAACGACATCTGGAAAATATTTATTCGAATTTTTTTGTAATTTTCAAAACAAAAACGTTCTCTAAAACGGATTAATACTCAATATTAGCCCGCAACATCTATTTTGATGACAAAAAATTTGAAAACAATTTTTTTTTCGAAAATTGTCTATTTTTTAAACCGTTTTCCAGCCGAAACCTTGCACTAAAACGGTTTTTTAGGCCGCGAAATCGATTTTAAAACTTAGAAATCAATAAAAAATCTCTAAAAATCTAGAAAAATAGATGAAAAAAGAGCCCGAAAACCAATACACCAGAGAGCAGTGCTTTGAAAATTCGACGTGGCTGAGCGAGGTGCAAACACCGTTGTTTACCGTAGTACTGCGGAGTAGGCATTTAAGTCTACGCGCAAAACGCGAGTCGTAAAAATGGAGACCGTACCGATCGGAAAGAATTGAAATTCGAAAGAAACGAAACCGTAAGAAACGAAAGCGAAAGAAACGAAACGGAAAGAAACGAATCGGAAAGAAAGGGGAACCGTGCGCCACTTTGCGGAAACTCTGCGCACAGGTTGCAAATGGGCGGGGTTTATCAAATCTGAAGTGAAGTGCTGAAAGACTGAATGAAAACTGGAATTCTTCGAGTATTCAAATCAAAATTATCGATATTAATTGAAAATCGGCAAATTTATTGAAAAAAAATCATGTGAAATTTACAGATATTTCAGGAAACGAGGTGAACGAAGTTTTGGCGACGGAAAATGATGATTTCTGGAATAAATTTGATAAAAAACGAATGAATGCCGATAATAATGTGATAAGGACAAAAAATGAAGAGAAACACATAAGAAATAGGGATAATTAATTGAGAAAATAAATGAAAATTTAACTGGAAAAAATGAAAAGCCGCGACGCGACCGCGCAACGCGTCCAAACTTGGCGCGCTTTCCAATTTTTAAATCTAGGTTCCCTTCAGCGAGGCCGTGGCGAAATAAAAGAATAATGGAAAAAATGGTCGAAATAAAAGGGAATCTGTAGTAGGAATGTAACAGTAATAAAAATTTAAAATTTGAAAAAATGAATATGAATATATAAGAAGTGAAGTGGATTGGTTGAGAGAAGAAGGGAACATTGAACTGGAATCTCATGGAAAGAAAAAAAGAAAAAAAATGTACAATTATGAATGATTTACAAATATGTTGAAAGAAAAAAAAAGTTACAAAAGAAAACAGATAGGAGATACATATGGAAAAACATGACAAGTAATTAAAATGGAAAATTATGAATGAATAAAATATGAGGAGCTTGGAATTTTTCGGATTTCTCTTATATATTCTTATTCATTTTCATCCGCATAACATTGTTATCGTCTTTCATTTGTTTTTTAAAAATTACATTTATTCCAGGAATAATCATTTTACTCATTTACATTTTTCCCAGTTTAATTTCCATTGTATTCCCTATTTCTAAACAATTACGAACCGCTCATATTTGATTAAATTATAAGATTCCTTTTTTTTTCTTACTTTTCATGAATTTTCATACATTCTTACTATAGATTCCCTTTTATTTCTACCATTTTTTCCATTTTCCTTTTATTTCGCCCGTTTTCATTTTTTCCAGTCAAATTTTCATTTATTTTCTCAATTAATTATCCCTATTTTTTATGTGTTTCTCTTCATTTTTTGTCCTTATCACATTATTATCGGCATTCATTCGTTTTATATCAAACATATTCCAGAAATCATCATTTTCCGTCGCCAAAACTTCATTCACCTCGTTTCCTGAAATATCTGTAAATTTAACATGATTTTTTTTCAATAAATTTGCCGATTTTCAATTAATATTGAAAATTTTGATTTGAATACTCGAAGAATTCCAGTTTTCATTCAGTCTTTCAGCACTTCACTTCAGATTTGATAAACCCCGCCCATTTGCAATCTGTGCGCAGAGTTTCCGCAAAGTGGCGCACGGTTCCCCTTTCTTTCCGATTCGTTTCTTTCCGTTTCGTTTCTTTCGCTTTCGTTTCTTACGGTTTCGTTTCTTTCGGATTTCAATTCTTTCCGATCGGTACGGTCTCTAAAAATGAGTTTTTTAGGTCGATTTCCGGTGATTTTCCTCGATTTTCTGCTGAGAAAGTATGAAAGATAAATTGAAAAATTGAAAAATATGAATAAAATGACTGAAAAACTTCTGCAAATTTGTAAAATTCCGAAAATTGAGATTTCTGAATTTTTAATTTTTTTTTGTCGGAACTTTCTGCTTTTGTACTTAAAATGTGTGTTTTAGCCGGTTTAACAATTCCTATGGACGAAAAATCGAAAAAATTGGCGAAAAATAAGAAAATTTTGCTAAAAACCGGTTTTTCAGTACAAAATTTAAAAAATAAAAATTTTCGCCGCGCTCAACCGCGCTCCGCTGAGAAAAAGGCTTGCAGTTCATATTGGGAGCTGGGGAGAGCGTGTATTGTGAAAAATTTTTCGGATTTTGAAAATTTTTGTATCGAAAAACCTTGAATTTCCTGGAAATCGAAAAATATGAGATAAAAAACTGAGTTCAACGAATTTTGCCTCTAAAAAAGCTAAACATCTCAAATTTGCCGAGAAAATTATAACAATTATTTTTCGATTTTTTCAGTCGATTTTAGAATTTTTTTTAGCAAAAAAAGATAAAATTCATTCTCCAAAAATTACAAAAAAACAGAGAAAAAGCGATTAGAAAACGATATGTAGACCTTGTAAATTTTGTGTCAAAAAAAAGTTCAAAAAAGCAGTGAAAGTTTAAAAAAAAGAGGGGCAGAAGAGATCATAGAATCCCAGAAAAAAAAACAAAGATTTATGTGAACTTTTGAAGCAAAAATCGGAATGAAAATGAGGAAAATTTGGGGTAAAATAGGGAGAATCACCGATAAAAAATGCGAAAAATGGAAAGTTTTTAGTGGAAAAAGTGACCGGAAACGAGGTATTTTTAGGAAGAAAAAAATGCCGAAATTCGAAAAAAAATCAAGAAGAATGCTGGTCATTTTGCTCGTCTTGATTCGATTCCTCATCGGATTCATTGCTTCCGCCCTCGCCCTTCGCCTCCTTTTTATGCTTCATTCGACGGTTTTGAAACCAAATTTTCACCTGAAAATGTGAAAAATTTTATGAAAAATTCAAGTTTTTGATGTAAAAAAGCCCTAAAACCGTATAAAAATCCCTAAATTCATTGAAAAGCAAGCTGCTGTATTTTGAAATTTCAACTTCCCGCGGCTTTTCCCTGCAATTCTGCGACAGAGTGTACTTGCAGCGCGCTGCGTCTCTCGAATCTACACACTCTCTCGCCGGGGTTTTTTCGGATTTTTAAAAGAAATTTGAATAAAAAACGGCCGGAAATCGGGAAAAACTAAGAAAAAAACAAAAAAATTACCTGTCTTTCAGTCAAATGAAGGGTCTCTGAAATTTCCTGTCGCCGCTTTCGGGTCAAATATTTGTGATAATGGAATTCTTTTTCTAATTCCAGGGTTTGACTCCTTGAGTAGGTTTGACGGGTTCGTTTTGATTCGCCTCCTTTTGTGCCTGGAAAACAACATTTAGATTTTTTGAAAATTGGAACATTTTCATTTGGAAAGGTTTTAGGACTTCTTGGAATATGAAAATTGTGAAATTTGAAAAAATCAATTTTTTTAATTGAAAAATTTCAAGAATTCTGGAATTTTTGGAATTGTCGAAATTCTGAAATTTTGAACTTCTGAATTTATGAATATTCTAGAATTTTTGATTTTAGACTTTTCTTGAATTTAAAGGTTTCCAGAATTTCGAAAGTTTTGAACTTCTGAATTTCAGAATGCCTGAATTCCTGATATTCAGAAATTCGAAAATTCAGGAATTCCAGGAAATTCGAAAATTCGAAAATTCAGGAATTCAAAATTTCAGAAATTCCAGGAAATTCAGAATATCTGAAATTCGAAACTACTGTAATTTGGAATTTCCGATTTTCCCTGAATTCCCAAAAATTTTTTTACAGTAATCCTTTGAAAAGTTCAAAACTCTCAAAAACGGTCAAAATTCCAAAAATTCAAATTTCTGCATTTTTTATATTTTCTGGGGTAATTGGAAATTTCGGAAAATGTAGGCCTTCTGCGATTCTTTTTAAATTTCTGGAACTTCTGATAATGGGTTACTGTAGCAAGTTTTGAACTTCCTGACTTTCAGGAAATCTGCAATTTTCGGAGTTCTAAAAAATCCAAAAATTTTTCATAATGGAAAACCAGAAAAAAAATTTAACTCCTAAATTTTATTAGGGATTACTGTAGAAATTTAGAATTTTCAGGAATTTAAAAAATTGTCATTTATTGGAATTTTTGAGTGAAACTCTGGAAACTTTCCTAAATCCCGAAAGTTCGTAAATTTCTGGAATCTCCGACAATGGAAAACTAGAAAAAAAGATTTCAAATTCAGAATTTCACTTTGAAATTTCAAAATTTTGAAAATTCCAAACTGTAAAAAATTTTTTTTTAATCCCTATACCAAATTCCTGAACTCCCCCAGAAAATTCTCTCAAAATTCTACAGTAACCCCCGTTCCTCCCCTCCGCCTCTCCCCAAATGATTGGTCAGTTGTCCCGCTCATTGTCTCATCTTCATCTTCTTCCAATTCTCCCCAAAGTCGTATTTCATTATCGGCCTCCGCCTCCGTCCCCAAATTCCTCTTTGTTCTTTTTGCCGCCTTTCGGGCTGTTGTCATAACAGTTGTTCCTAGAGACATGGTGTCACAATATCATATCACACCTTTTCACAGAATATATTGATATTGATAATACACAAAAAAGATTATGATAGGTGTTTGGAGGAGCACAGATGTTCTTGGGACTTGAACAGTTGAAAAAGTTGAGCTACGCAGTCATATTGGGGATGCGGTAGCCATAGTAAAATTATACGGTAGCCAATGTATAAGGTGTGAACACCATTCCGTAAAAATGCACACTCTCTTTATGCCTTCTTCTTAAAGGTCCGTTTTTAAGATATGCGCGCTTAAAGGCGCATATCTCAAAAACGAGAATAGTTAACAAAAAGTCGTCAACTAAAACATGTAGCTCATAAAATATCTCATATTTTAACAGTTTTAACCTTGAAGCTAGCTATTTCAGTTTATAGGATATGCGCCTTTAAAGTTAGTGCGCACTTCTAGCGGTGCGAGAATGGTGCAAGCGTTCCTGCCTTCTTTAAAGGAGCATATCTCGAAAACCAAAGACGCCTTTTTCTCAAAATTTCTGCTTAGGTATGTTAGTTTTTGAAATATGCGTCTTTAAAGTATGTGCGCATCTCTAGTGGTGCGAAAAGGGAGTGCAAGCGCCCCTTCTTTAAAGGCGCATATCTCAGAAGCCAAAATAGCTATCAAAAACTGACAACTAAAGAAATGTAGCTTATAACATTTTCTATATTTAAACAGTTTAAACTTTTTGGCTAGCTAATCTAGTTTTTGAGTTGTGTGTATTTAAAGCGGGCGCACCTCTAAAAGTGCGAGAATTGGTCCTTTCCTTCTTTAAAGGCGCATATCTCAAAAAAAAGATAGCTATCAAAAAGTTGCCAGTTCAAAACGACCTCCTGGAGGGCCTGGGGCTCTTCACACTGTTAATTGATTTATCTTGGTTTCTTTAGAAGAAATCAAAAAGTGGCCAACTTGCAAAATGTGTAAAACTTTCTGTGCTAAATTTTTGTAGTTAAAGGTGGTGTGCGGTGAAAAATTGTATTGCTTTATTATGTGCAGAAATCCATGTAGATTCACATAAAAACAAAGAAAAAATTCAAAAAATTCCTTCATTGAGAAAAACGTCATCGAAAAGTCAAAGTGGGAACCGGTGGCCTAGCGGCCAGGTGTGAGTTTTCTAGGCCAACTGCCGGTAAAAGCGCGCGAAATTTGAATTTTTATTGATTTTCAGTGTTTTCTCTGATTTTTGTCAGGTTTTTCATACACCTGGGAGGAAATTAAAGGGGGACTCCGACCAAAAATTTTTATTGCATTAAAATGTGTTAAAAGTTATATATTTTCCGAATATTATTGCGAAAAAATTCAAAAAAAATCCGAAATTCCCAAAAAACGCCGTTGAAAAGGAAGAAAATTCAAAAAAAGGTGCCGCCGGGGGACGAGGATTTTCAGTGAGAAACCTAGGCCACGGCAGCGGGCGCCTTTCCTATGTGGCAAATTTTCCGGATTTTTTTCAATTTCATGTCCGGCATGTAAAAAACGTAAAAAACCACTATCGGCGACTTGAAAAAAAGGCTGTCAGGTGCCGTGGCCTAGGTTTCTCACTGAAAATCCTCGTCCCCATCCTCGGCGGCACCTTTTTTTGAATTTTCTTCCTTTTCAACGCCGTTTTTCGGGGATTTCTGATTTTCTTTGAATTTTTTCGCAATAATATTTCAAAAATAGGTAAATTTTAACACATTTTAAAAATTTCTGGTCGGAGTCCCCCTTTAACAAAAACATTTTGAAATCTTTAAAAAACATCAGAGAAAACACTAAGAATCAATGAAAATTCGAATTTTTTACCGGCAGTTGGCCTAGAAAACTCTCACCTGGCCGCTAGGCCACCGGTTCCCACTTTGACTTTTCGATGCCGTTTTTCTCAATGAAGGAATTTTTTTTGAATTTTTTCTTTGTTTTTATGTGAATCTACATGGATTTCTGCACAAAATAAAGCAATAAAATTTTTCACCGCACACCACCTTTTTTCAGTTTTTGATATATTTCATAGGAAGTGAGATAATTAGCTTCAAAGTAGACGGATAGAGAAACATAACGAGATAAATCATTGAAGTTGTGAGAAAAGGAGTTATGGAGAAAAACTCAAAGTGGGAGGGTCTCTTTATTACAGGTTTTTGAAGATTGCAAAGTTTGGAACTCATAGCTAAAAAGTAATTGACAAGAAGTCAAAAAAAAAACAGAATTACAGCAAAGTTTTTTACAGAGTGTCTACAGAAATAGGAATTTAATTTAATTTATTTATTTCAACGAAGGGGAGAAAACCACTAACACGTGAAATGTCGATGAATCTTGGAGATATAACAGGGACATACATTTGTAGTAAATGGGAGATGGGATCAAAAGAAGATGTGTGATTCCAAGACACATATTCAATCAGATATCAATCGTTCAAAAAAGTGGTCAACTACAAAAATGAAGCTCTTGTCTTGTTTAGTCTATTCTGAAATTTTGAGATGTTGCGGACGTTTTTGAGCTACTTTTGTAAACGATTCAATTTCGGAAAATGAAAAATTGAGCTTTTTGGTTCAGTAAAGCGCAATTCGGAACCTTTTGTGTTAAGCTAATCTACAATTTTTTAGCTGAAGAAACAGAGAACCGAAAAAGAAACAGGAACTTCCAGAGCCGCAAACCAGAACAGCCATGGCCGTGGTTCGAATGGACCTTGATTCCCACCAATCTACCGTACTCCTTCCCTTTTCTCTATTTCTCTGCGTCTCCAACTCTTTCTTCTAATTTTTCTTCATCCAACAACACCAATACCACTGTCTCTCTCTCTCTCTCTCTTTCCCCAAATTTCCCAAAATTTTCAACACAATTTTCATTAAAATTCAATAGAAACACCATCTGCTCATTTCCATCTTCGACCAAGTATTCGATTTCTTGGGGGGGGGGGGGGGGATTACTGTAGGTTACTGTAGATAACTGTACCTCCTCTTAACATGCCAAACCATAAAGAGTGAGTCACTGTAAATAATTTCGAGATTACTGTGGAGTACTAGGTTCCTGAGGGTTACTGTAGACTAATGTACCTCCCTGAAAAAGTGAAACAACAGCAAAAAACCTGTCCCCTTGGTGTTCGCCAAAACTTTTTTTTCTCATTTTCCCTTTTTCTGCGTTCCTCGTTTTTTTCTCATTCGATTAGATTTCAGTTTCGATTAGAAAGTTTTGGGAAGGGAAGGGAAATCGGCAAATGGGTTACTGTAGGAATCTGAAGAAATCGAAATGAAAAAAAGAGATTAAAGAATTAATTAATGACAAACGGAAGAAGGATAATTAGAAGGAAAAAATAGGAGAAAAAGGATGAAATCTTTTTTTTTGGAACTTTTGTTAAAAATTGAAATTTCCAAAATTTTGAAACACGTTCAGAAACTAAAATTTCAGAAATAGGCTTGAATTTGGCTGGAAATCCTTTTTATCGGAAATTCAGAATTTTCAAAAAATGTGGCTTTGTCATTTTAGTTCAATCAAAATTTCAAAATCTGGACGTTTTCAGAATTTTGGAATTTTAAAACTTTTAAATTATTTGAAAATCTAAATATTTGAAAATTCAAACTTTTTTGATTTTTGAAAAAATTTCAAAACCTAAAATCAATTTCTGAATTTCTGAATTTCTGAATTTCTGAATTTCTGAATTTCTGAATTTCTGAATTTCTGAATTTCTGAATTTCTTTTTTGTTCAGAAATGCAGAAATTCAGAATTCTAGAATCCTAGAATTCTTGAATCCCTAAATCTCAGAATTTCAGAATTTTCAAATTTACAAATTCTCAAAACCCCAAAAAACCCTAAAATCACAATTTCAGGTACTAAAATTACTACAAATTACAAGATTCTCCATCTCTTAATCCCTCGTTCTAATCCATGTATCCTCTCTTCCTTCGTTTTCCTCCAATATCTTTCTTCTAGTCCAACCGTAAATCATCAGATTAGACGCACCGACCTTGTTCTGTCTTCTGGAGAGTACAACAGCTGTTTGGCTCCGGAGAGCATGTCGTAAAATGTTAGGGTCATCGCCGAACCGCAAACATTTTGACAGCTTCGTGTCACTTGTTGATGCCCTTCTTATTGTAATCTTACAACAGAAACAAAAAGAAAAAATATCATGCAAGGAGTCGAACCAACAAGTCAGCTCCCCCGGATTGGGAACGCCGCGCGCTCCCACCTGAGCCACCGCTGCACAGCCTTACCTGGGTGTGGAAGGCGGATAAGAAGGGGCGAGAAAGCGGCGCTACCAGATGAGAGGTGGCGGAGCCAAGTAGACAATGAAAATATTAATAAATCAAGGAAATTTACAATTTCGAAATTTTACATCCCTTTCCATTTTCTTTTGCTCAAGAGGAAGAGGGTTTTCTGGCACGGCGGCGGCATACTTCAAAGCGTCCGGAGGAACCCGAAAGAAAATAAATGATTCGAGAGGCAAGAAGAGACACAGATTCTAGTGGGAAGAATCTCGTGTATTTACGAATCTTTTCTCGCTTTTTTCCACTTCTTTTCGCTCTATTTTCCATGTTTTTTTTGGGGAGAAGGAGGAGAGCGAAAAAAATCTGATAGATGAAGAGTAGTCCTATGACATCAATCAGTGGCCGCAATTCTCATTGATTAATAGCTATTGATTGGTGATTGGGAGAAAAAATTAAAAGAAAAAAGATTTTGTTCTTCTAATTTGCTAAAAACAGCGAAAAAATCGCTTTAAAACGGCTGTAAAGGCTTAAAACCCTAAAAACGAAGTGCGCTAACTTTAAGGATCCATAACTCTGCTCAAAATCAATGTTTGCAAATGAAATATGTTTTGTCTGAAAGCTGAAATTTTAGGCTTTTCAAAAATATATAATTCAACTACTTCGTCTCAAAAATTAGTTGTGTAAAAGAGCTGAAAACGTCCAAAACTCCGAAAATTAAGCATACTAAGTTTCGTGACTTATAACTCGGCTCAAAGTAGACATTTTCAATAGAATTTTGTTTTATTGGAAAGCTGAATTTTTGAGCTTTTTGAAAATATATAATTCACATTTTTTCGGTCGAAAATAACTTTGAAAAACTCTGGAAATGTTCAAACACCTCAAAGTTTAGAACTAGTAAGTTTGAGGACTCATAACTCAAGTCAAAAATGTTACTTTTAGATGAACTTAATTTTGTTTGGAAGCTGAAGTTTCAAGCTTTTGAAAAATATATAATTCAAGCACTATTGAAAATTGGCTTTGAAATATAGCTGAAAATCGTTACAACCCCTAAAAGTTACACCCACTTATTTTAAGAGTCTATAACTCAGCTCAACAATTATAAATTCAGATGAACTTAGTTTTGTTAAAAAGCTGAAGTTTTTGGCTTTTTAAAATATATAATTAAACTTATGTTGGTTCGAAGTTAGCTTTGAAAAAAGATTTGAAAGCATCGAAAACCTCAAAAATGAGGTTTGCCAACTTCACGGACCCATAACTCAGCTCAAAGTTGACATTTCTAAACAAATCCTATTTTGTTGAAAAGATGAAGCTTTAAACTTTTTGAAAATATATAATTCAAATTGTTACCCGTTGAAACTCAATCTTAAAAGGGCTTGAAACCCTCAAAAACTCCAAAAAACTAGGTTTACTAACTTCAAGGACTTATAACTCCGCTCATAGTCAATATTTTTAAATTAATTTAATTTTGTTTGAAAGCGGAAGTTTTGGGTTTCTTAATAATATATTTTTTTCAACTTTTCTTGGTTTGAAATTGGCTTTAAAATGCTAAAAATGCTTAAACCCCTAAAACAGGGTCCGCTAACTTTACGGACCTATAACTCAGCTTAAAATTATTACATTTTTGTGAATTTAGTTACGCTCAAAAGCCTAAATTGTGCGCTTTTTGACAATATACAATTCAAACTATTCCCCAATGAAATTCAATCTGAAAAGACTGATAATGCTTTAAAACCCAAAAAACTAGGTTCACTAGCTTCAAGGATCTATAACTCAGCTCAAAATCAATATTTTCAAATGATTTTAATTTAGTTGGAAAGCTGAACTTATGGGCTTTTTGAAAATATATAATTCCAAAACTTTTTTTTTGAATTTGGCTCTGAAAATTAATATTCCAATACTAATGGTTATGCATTTTTAGCAAATCATTAAGCCCGCGACCCCCGAGAAGCTGAGAAACCGGAGGCACTTAACCGCCTTCCGCATCACTCAAAAAGTTGCCGCGGTGGCATAGGGGATGTGGTGGGCGCTGGTGTGCGCAAGGCGACGAGTTCGACCCCGTCTATAGTTTTTTGTTTTTTTTTGTTTTTGCAAGGTTCTATTCTAATTGCAATTAACCCCTTTATGACTAATACAACCAAAACTTAGTACATAGTCCATTATTGACCTTCCAAGTACCACCACCACCCAGTAGAAGTATCATAAATAAATCAAAAAATTCCGCCTCGCCGCGATCGTCTAAAAGAGACCGCCATGCCGCCCATATTTTTGTCCCTTCTTGTCTCCCTTTTTTCGGAGAGACCTCCCAACAACACCCCCCCTTGTATCATACCGCCCCCATAATATACAGAATCTTCAAGAAGTATATAGATAAGCATCGAAAAAGTGTGACCCCCATGTCACTTCACACCTTTTTGGCGGTCAAATTACCGTTATGCGTATTAAAATGGACTACATATAGTACCTATGTCGAAATCTCAAAATGAATAAAAAACTAACCACCCATCTTCATCCACGGAAAAACTGGCTGTGAGATTGTGGCCATCGATGTGCGCGTCTCGCCGAAATTCGCTGATGTCGCTTGTAGAGGGTTATAGGCAAATCTGAAGGTATTTTCATGTATTATTAGTAAAATAGTAGGAAACAGCCAAAAATTTCACCTCTATCTTTATTTGGTAGCATTTAAATAGCTCTTTTAGTTTTAAGAATATGCGCCTTTAGACTTTAAAGGTGGCTTAAATTTTTAAAGCCTTATATCTTCAAAACTAAAATAGCTATGAAAAAGTTGTCAACAAATACAATGTAGCTCATAAACTTTTACACATTTTGTTAGTTATTAATGTTTTAATAGCTGTCCTGGATTTTAAGATTTGCGCCTTTAAAGAAGAAAAGGGCTCTTGCACAACTGCTAGAGTGCGCACACCTTAAAGGCGCATAACTCAAAAACTAGAGTAAGCATTTGAGAAATTTAAAATGTCATATTGTGTAAAATTTTACACTCTACATGTTTTTAGTTAACAACTTTTTGATAGCAATTTTAGGTTTTGAGATATGCGTCTTTAAAGAAAAAAGGTGCGCTTGCACCACCTCTAGAGGTACGTACACTTCAAAGGCGCATAACTCAACAAGTGAAAAAGCTACCAAAAAGTTATAAACATATAAAATGTAGAACGTAAAATTTAACAAATTTAACAATTTGAAGTTTTCAGCTAGCTATTTTAGTTTATGAGATATGCGACTTTGAAGATTACGCACCCCTTGCTGCCGCCTCCTCCTGACCAAAGGGGGGGGGGGGGCGGCAAGGGGTGTGCGATCTTTAAAGGCATAACTTAAAAACTAAAATAGCTAGCTGCAAAGATAAAACTGTTTCCATACGTAAAATTTTGCGCTCCACATTTTTGTAGTTTACAACTTTTTGATATCTATAAATTATTATCTGGAGGTCTAACGCCCATTTACCTTGGGGCCAGTAACCCCGTAATTTTCAAAGGAAAGGATCAAATTTGATCTCTTTGATAAAAATCAATTTCCCAAATTTTCAAACAGCTGTCGAATCAAAAAACCACAAAAAATCCTGTTACACTCACGGATTAGTGGAGTTGTCCATCCAACCAGCGGCTAGCATATTCTTCATGTTGTTCATATAGGTGTGATTGTAGAGTTCGTACGTCTGCAAGTGCGCTCTATTGATAAAACTCTTTATTTTTGAGAGTAGGGGTTTTGAAGAAGCAAAATCAACCTGACGTATTAAGGAGAAACACAAAAATCAGCTATTTTTTAGGATTAAGCCGTTAGTAAACCAAGAAAAACTCAAACTACAAACTACAAACCTCACTGTCAACCTCGGCGCAAATTGCTCCAGAAGACGTCCAATTCAGAATTTCCGATAGCTAGATAAGAAACTTGTTGTTTTTTTTAAGGGGGATCCATTTTTCACCTTTTTGGGGGTACTGTAAATGCTCTAATAGAAGCTCACCCAGAGTCCATCCCACCCGAGGCAAATCGAGCTACTTTGAGCTCAATTATCTCGGTTCCTGTAACAGATATCAAAAAATTGTCAACTAATGAAATACGTAAAGTTTTATCAGCTACATTTCATTAGTTGGTTATTTTTTGATAGCTTTTATGACAACCGAGAAAATTGAGCTCAAACAAGGGCGTATACGGTGGACTGGTTTCAATGAGCATTTAGGTAACTGTGTTTAACGGCTTCAGGTAACATTTGGTTTTTAAAACATCGTTAAGTTTTATATATTATTTTGTAGCCTAAAATGTGTGCTTTCAAATAAATGTAAAACTTTAAAAAGTTCTCAATATTCAGCAAAGTTAGAGGTTCCTAAAGATAGGGCCCATTTCATTAGGTATTATTGATTTCAATCAGCTACAGTATCCTTTAAATTCGAGACTCAAAACATCAATTTACATCATCTAGAAGCTTGTAAATTGGGCTTTAAGGTAATCTTTAAGTTTGTCAAAAATTTGTGAGTATAAAAAAGTTATGCGTCTTCAAAATAGCCACTACTTGACCTAACTTGTTTTTTCAAACCCCTAGCTCTATATCTTTAAGCCACTAGCGTAATAGCTCATTTTGAAGGTGAATTTATGAATTTAACAAAAATTTGAAAGCTCAAAATTTCAGCTTTAAGATTCTTTGAAATTTATTTAAATCCTGCACGTCTGAGCAAAGTTATGAGCCTTTAAAGTACCACTTGTGCGCCAATTCGGCTCAAATTAAGTCAGATTCTTTGAGTCTAAAATTTATCTCATATTGAAGTTAAACTTAAAAATTTAATACAATTTTAAAGCTCACAATATGAGCTATTAGGATTTAAAAAGTTTGTTAAAATTTTGCTAATTTGAGCAAAGTTATGAGTTTTGAAAGACACATGACTTTTTTTTGACGCAATTTGGCTTACGATTAATTAGGATGTTCATGCATGCTCATTTATGGATTTTGTATTATATTGCAGATTGAAATTTCTGTTTAGAAAAATTTTTTATAGAAACTTTCATGCTTGAGCAGAGTCATAGGTCTTTTTCTTAGTCAATAGTTTTATAGCGCCCAAATAGCGCGTCAACCTTCTTCAAGCTCAATTATCTCGGTTCCTGGGAAAAAGGTCAAAAAGTTGTCAATTAATAAAATGTAGCTCATAAAGTTATACATATTTTATTAGCTGATCACTTTTTGATAGCATTCATAGGAACTGGGATAAATGAGCTCAAAGTGCAAAGCGTTCCATAAGGGTACTTACAAACGATTCCTCGAGTATTAAAGCTCATTCTCAAGCTAGATTCTCATATTTTATATGATCTTAAAGCTCTCAAGCCGAACTACACGATAAACTAAAAAAAAGTTCCTACCTTCAAATTGTTAGCTGCAGCGGCAGCAGCGGCGGTCGACGACGCCGTTGACGACGCAGATGTGCCAGAAGAAGCGGGAGCGGCGGCGGCGGTGGTGCCAGCGCCCGCCCAGTACGAATCGTCGCCTGTCCATCCGGGATACATGCTCATTTAAAAGGGGGGATGAGAAAATGAAGATATAGGGGGATGGAGAAGGGGTTGGGTTGAGATGGATGGCGTGATGGAAGATGGAGGTGTCTGAAAAGAGTGAAATGGTAATTGAAGGGTATTGGGTGGCGAGGGATGAGGAAGAGAAAAAAAAGGAGCATTTGGAAGAACAGAGGTATATATGAAAATGTGAAAAAGTAACATTTGAGCTGTTTAAATTTTTGAGCTAGCTATTTTAGTTTTTGAGTTACGCGTCTTTAAAGAGTGCGCACCTCTACAAGGGCAAGAAAGGTACAAGCTTTTTTAAAGGCTCATATCTCCAAAACCAAAATAGCTGTCAAAATTTATTTAATTTATAACATGTAGCTTATCATATTTCACACATTTTGTTAGTTTACAACTTTTCAATGGCTGTTTTAGTTTTTGAGTTATGCGCCTTTAAAAAAGCAAAAAGGCTTTCAGAGTCATGTGGCTGGAGTTGGCCGCGTAGCGGAAAAGTGTTTAGCCAATAGTTTAAATCCTATTAGAGGCTTTTAAGACAGAAAGTAGAATTTTCTTAAAATTATGTTTTTTGAGAATTGGTGAAGCACATAAAGACGGTTAGCTACGCAGTCGGCTCCGGTGGTGGCGCCGACTGGGGCGACGGAGGCTTGGCGTACTCTGGATGCGCTTTCTTCAAAACGTTGTATCTCAAAAACGAAAATAGCTATCAAGAAGTAATTCACTGATGAAATGTAGCTTATAAAATTTTACACATGTTGTTTGTTGACAACTTTTTGATGCCTCAAATGGTCCCTGAGATATAAGCGTTTGAGATATAAGCGCAAGACGTGGGGACTTCAAGGTGCGTCCACTCCAAGTCGTTATATCTCAAGAGTCATAAAAGTAATCTAAAAGTTGTTAACAGCAAAAATGTAGCTTACAAAGTTTCACACATTTTATTAGTTAACAACTTTTTGATAGCTATAATTAGAAGCAAGATAATTAGCGTCAAAGTGAGCGTCAAAGTGTCCACAAAGGGAATAATCGACATAAATCTTGGAGGGAGGTAATTAAGGAAATGGGATTTTGGGTTTTTTTGTTATTATTTTCAAAAATAACAAATTTGGGAGGAAAATCTTAGAAAACATCTGAAACTTCAGATTTTCAAAAATTCAAGAAAAACGAAATTTTAAGCTTAAACCGCTGAAACAATTACCGATCAAAAATGGAAAACAAGGAATTTCAAAAATTGAAATTTTCAAAAATTAGAGACAAAATCTTAAAGTGTAGATTTTCAGCTTTCGAATGGTTTAACATTTTTATAGAAAACTTAAAAAATTAAATAGATAATTTGAATTTCAAAAATTCGAGTCAAAATTCTAAAATTTCAGCTTTCAGATTGTATAATTTAGCAAATTTAAACAAATATATTGAAAAAAAATCAATTAACACATTCTTAATTATCCAATTAACGCCTCTTTGGCTTCCGCTTTTCGGGGTCCCCTCGAAAAAAACCAATAAAAAAAGAAAATGGCTTTTCGGGAGAGAATTAATGGCTCTGCTGCCTCTTCCTCTCGGGGTAATTAAGTCAGTCGGGAGGGTAATTAACCAAAATTAATTGAGATATATAATAAATTTATAGAACGATCGAAATTAAGAGGAGGCACGAATTGAAATATGTGTTGGTTGGTTGGTTGGGGGAGAGGGGGGTCGATGAAATATTGGGGCGGTCTTTTTTTCGAAAAACGAAACGACGAGGGGAGAGAAAGAGAGAGAAAAGTGGGCGGAGCTTCGCTGCAAAACGTCGGCCAATGGGAAGGAAAAGGGGGCGGAGCCTATTGATGATGGTATTGTAGAATCATAATATTATTGTTGGGAATGAGGGGTTTATGGTTCTGGAGAGCCTCTGAAGGATTCCTAATGAGAAGAGAGATGCATAAAATTAGGAGGATTGTCCATTTTGGGAGAAAACATTTTCTTGGGGATCGGGGAATTGGATTTTCTGGATTCTTCTAAACTTTGAGATTTTGAGATTCCAGAAAAATTAAGCGCAGAAATCCAGAAATATCGTTCCAGAAAATTCAGTAGTTGAAAATAACTGGAGGGCTTAAAATACCGTAAACAGTCTAGAAATATAACTTTTAAAGCTTCCAACTTTCAGCCTATAAATCTGAGCTCTTTTGAAAGATATCGAAAAATTGTTATTTAACAAAATATGTAAAATTTTATGATCTACATTTCATTAATTGACCACTTTTTGGACGCTTCATTGGCTCTTGAGATATAACGCGTTGAATAGGCGCACCTTTCAGACGCCTGGCATCGCTCGCCCCAACTTCAAACGTTTATATCTCATGGACCATTTGAGGTATAAACATTATGCAAATTGGCAAAATGTATAAAATTTTATAAGCGCTTTATTTTATCAGTTACCAACTTTTTGATAGCTAACTTACTTTTGGAGATATGTGTTATTAAAGAGTGCGCACCTCTCAACAGGAAGCGGCAAGGGGTGTGCGGTATTTAAAGGCGCATAACTCGCGGACAAATTTAGCTATTAAAAAGTAGTCAGCTAGTAAAATGTGTAAAATTTTATAAGCAACAATTTCATAGTTAGCTAGTTTTTGATATATTTTATGGGAACCGAGAGAAATTGGCAAAGTAAACGCTAGAGGGGTCGTTCAAGATAAAAGGAAGGGTTTAGGGTAGCTGGAAGAAATCGAAATTTATTGGGGTAAAAGAAAAGAAATTTGAGTTTAAAAAGAGAAAAATTGATTCAAAAAATTATAAAAACTGTTTTAAAAAAACTAGAAATTTCAGCCTTTAAATCTGTTGAGCAACTGGGGAACAAGAAAAAAATTATATGGTAAAAAACGGTTTTTGAGGAATTGAACTTGCTGAGCTACACAGTCGTACTTGATGAATAAATTTGGATTACGGTAGCCTAAAAGATACAAACACCGTCACGCAAAATGCACACTTTCTTCATTATCTCTTCAATTCCTTAAATCTTCTTAAAGGTCCCACGTTAAGCACCTAATCTAATTCATTTAAAGGTTTTGGGAGAAGAGAGCTCCCCTTCTTTGTTTAAAGGCGCAAATCTCAAAAACCAAAATAGCTATCAAAAAGCTGTTAATTGATAAATGAAGAACGTAAAATTGTACATATTTCAACAATTAAAACTTTTTACCTAGCGTTTTTAGTTTTTGAGATATGCGCCTTTAAAGTGTGCGCACCTCTATAGGTGATTCAAGCGCCCCTTCCTTCTTTAAAAGCGTATATCTCCAAAAACAAAATGCTATCAAAAAGTTATCAACAGCAAGAATACAGCTTATAACATGTTCTATATTTTCACAGTTTAAACATTTCAGCTAACTGCTTTAGTTTTTGAGATATGAGCCTTTAAAGTGTGTGCACCTCTAGGTGATGGTGCAAGCACTCCTTCATTCTTTAAAGGCGCATGTCTGTCATGTCTCCAAAAAAAGCTATCAAAAATTTGCTAATTAATAAAATGTGTGAAATAATAAAAGCTACATTTTACTAGTTTACAGCGTTTTGATATCTTTTACAGCAAGTCAGATAAAGGACCTCAAACTCAAGAAGTTGTACGGTAGCTAATGATTGTTCCTAGAGGCGGGGAGTCATAAAACTTAAAATCATGTAGAAACTGTTACCGTATACCTATTGACAGCTATCTCTGCCGATGCTGCTAAGCCTGAGCAACACAGGTGAGGTGTCAATATGACACATCAAGAAGATCGCAACGAAGGGGGATTACATTATTACACCATCCCATACAAATAAATCTTGGGGGATTCTAGGAGGGAGGTATTATATGTCATCTTGATTATGTAATACGAAAGATAAGGGAAGGGTAAAAGGGGCGGGTTCATTTTAGTGAAAAATGGTCAACTTTGAATGTCGGAAATCGGCTGGTAAAACTCAGGAGTTTACAAACCTAATCTAGACCTCGATTCTCTAAAATTGAATTTTTGAATATTTGTAGAATAATGCCTGAAACATTCAAAACATTTTCCAGCAAAAAATCAAGTTTCTAGCTCAATTTTGAAGATAGTTATGAATCTATTTGTTCCTGGCACGTGGTCGGCTGGTGGTGATGAGCGCGGCTAGGGGCGCCGTTCCACACCTCCAGCCGACCGCGCCCTTGGAGCAAATTATCCTATAACTTGTTCCAAAATTGAGCTAGAACTTTGATTTTTGTAGCGAAGTACTTCAAATTTGCTAGGCCTTCAACCTATGTTTAATTCATAAACATTACTCAAAGGAAAACTAATGCGCTAGCTTGAAAAGTTTGGCCAACTTCGGCTCGAATAATCTCGGTTCCTGTAAAAGATATCAAAAAGTTATCAACTGATAAAATATTTCTCATTTTATGATAAACATTTTGCTTGTTGTTAATTTTATGATATTTTTCATTGGAGTTGAGATAAATTGAGTTAAAAAAGACACTCTAAAATGGTCCCTGGCTTTAGCTCCTAAAAAGCTCCTAAGCTCCTAAAGAATATGGTTTTCTAGGGAACCAATTAATCTTAACTTGTTTCAAAGGTCTTACAGCATTTTAGAAGTAAAAAATCAATTCGTTTTCAAATCAAGTCACACTCTCAAACTTTCTCAAAAGCGAGAAAAAAGAAGATCGATGGCGTGAGCCAGGGCTCTTTTTCTTTCGAGCAACAGTTGAGAAAAAATAGAGGAGCAGCAGACTAATTATGTGATGATGGGACACACTGCATCGCCGCCACAAGAATTAGTAGAAAATGGCGAAAATGGCTCCGAAAATTGGGTAGTTTAGAGGATTTATTGGTGGGAAAGTAATTCGGAAAATTAGCCCTCTTTTGTTTTGGTTTGGGGTTAATTTTTTTTTTGGAATAGAAAGTTTGTTTTAGGTTTAAGGGATTTTTCGATAATGGATTTGAGGATCAGAAACTTTGTACTTGGAAAAAAAAACCTTTTAAAAATCTACTTCTTGAAACTTGAAGCTTTTCATACAGTAATCGATGTTC